TTTTTCAGCATCTATCGAGAGAGAGTATCATGTGGTTCTTGTTCTTTTATTAATGTATTGTATTACATTGATTGATTTGCGGATGTTGAACCAACCTGCAGCCCTGGAGTAAATCCCACTTGGTCATGGTGAATAATCCTTTTAATGTACTGTTGGATCCTATTGGCTAGTATTTTGGTGAGAATATTTGCAACTGTGTTCATCAAGGATATTGGTCTGTAATTCTCCTTTTTGATGGAGTCTTTGTCTGGTTTTGGGATCAAGGTAATGCTGGCCTCATAAAATGAGTTGGGAAGTTCTCCTTCCATTTCTATTTTTTGGAACAGTTTCAGAAGAATAGGTATGAATTCTTCTTTAAATGTTTGGTAGAATTCCTCTGGGAAGCCATTTAGCCCTGGGCTCTTGTTTGTTGGGAGATATTTTGATGACTGCTTCAATCTCCTTACTGGTTATGGGTCTGTTCAGTTTTCTATTTCTTCCTGGTTCAGTTTTGGTAGTTTATATGTCTCTAGGAATGCATACACTGTTCCCAGATTGTCAAATTTGCTGGTGTATAGTTACTTATAATATGTTCTTATAATGATTTGATTTCGTTGGTGTTGGTTGTGATCTCTTCTCTTTCATTCATGATTTTATTAATTTGGGCCCTTTCTCTTTTCTTTTTCATAATTCTGGCCAGGGCTTTATCAATCTTATTAATTCTTTAAAAGAACCAGCTCCTAGTTTCGTTGATTTCTTCTACTATTCTTTTGGTTTCTGTTTCACTGATTTCTGCTCTGATCTTTATTATTTTTTCTCCTCCTGGGTTTAGGCTTTCTTTGCTGTTCTTTCTTTAGCTCCTTTAGGTGTAGGGTTAGGTTGTGTATTTGCGACCTTTCTCGTTTCTTAAAAAAGGCTTGTACCGCTATATATTTTCCTCTCAGGACTGCCTTTGCTCTGTCCCACAGATTTTGAACAGTTGTGTTTTCATTATCATTTGTCTCCATGAATTTTTTCAATTCTTCTTTAATTTGCTGGTTGACCCATTCATTTTTAGTAGGATGCTCTTTAGCCTCCATGTATTTGAGTTCTTTCCACCTTTCCTCTTGTGTGAGTTCTAGTTTCAGAGCATTGTGGTCTGAAAATATGCAGGGAGTGATCCCAATCTTTTGGTACTGGTTGAGACCTGATTTGTGACCCAGGATGTGATCTATTCTGGAAAATGTTCCAGGTGCAGTAGAGAAGAATGTGTATTCTGTTGGTTTGGGATGGAATGTTCTGAATATATCTGTGATGTCCATCTGGTCCAGTGTGTCATTTAAAGACTTTATATCCTTATTGATCTTTTGCTTGGATGATCTGTCCATTTCAGTGAGGGAGTCTTAAAGTCCCCTACTATTATTGTATTATTGTTGATGTGTTTCTCTGATTTTGTTATTAATTGTTTTATATAGTTGGGTGCTCCCATGTTAGGGGCATAGATATTTAAAATTGTTAGATCTTCTTGTTGGACAGACCCTTTGAGTATGATATAGTGTCCTTCCTCATCTCTTATTATAGTCTTTGGCTTAAAATCTAATTGATCTGATATAAGGATTGCCACCCCAGCTTTCTTTTGATGTCCATTAGCATGGTAAATTCTTTTCCACCCCCTCACTTTAAATCTGGAGGTGTCTTTGGCTCTAAAATGAGTTTCGTGTAGACAGTGTATTGATGGGTTTTGTTTTTTTATCCATTCTGATACCCTGTGTCTTTTGATTGGGGCATTTAGCCCATTTACATTCAGGGTAACTATGGAAAGATATGAATTTAGTGCCATTGTATTGCCTGTAAGGTGACTGTTACTGTATATTGCCTCTGTTCCTTTCTGATCTACTACTTTTAGGCTCTCTCTTTGCTTAGAGGACCCCTTTCAATATTTCCTGTAGAGCCGGTTTGGTGTTTACAAATTCTTTTAGTGTTTGTTTGTCCTGGAAGCTTTTTATCTCTCCTTCTATTTTCAATGATAGCCTAGCTGGATATAGTATTCTTGGCTGCATGTTTTTCTCGTCTAATGCTCTGAATATATCATGCCAGTTCTTTCTGGTTTGCCAGGTCTCTGTGGATAAGTCTGTTGCCAATCTAATATTTTTACCCTTGTATGTTACAGACTTCTTGTCCCGGGCTGATTTCAGGATTTTCTCTTTGTCGCTAAGACTTGTAAATTTTATTATTATATGACAGGGTGTGGGCCTATTCTTATTGATTTTTATGTGAGTTCTTTGCGCCTCCTGGATTTTGATGCTTGTTCCCTTTGCCATATTAGGGAAATTCTCTACAATAATTCTCTCCAATATATCTTCTACTCCCCTCTTTCTGTTTCTTCTGGAATCCCAATTATTCTAATGTTTTTTCGTCTTATGGTATCACTTATCTCTCGAATTCTCCCCTCATGGTCCAGTAGTTGTTTGTTTCTCTTTTGCTTAGCTTCTTTATTCTCTGTCATTTGGCCCTCTATATCACTAATTCTCTCTTCTGCCTCATTTATCCTAGCAGTAAGAGCTTCCATTTTCTATTGCACTTCATTAATAGCTTTTTTGATTTCAACTTGTTTAAATTTTAGTTCTTTTATTTCTCCAGAAAGTGTTTCTCTAATATCTCCCATGCCTTTTTCAAGTCCAGCTAGCACCTTGAGAATCGTCATTCTGAATTCTAGATCTGACACATTACCAATGTCCGTATTGATTAGGTCCCTGGCCTGCGGTACTGCCTCTTGTTCCTTTTTTTTTTTTGTGGTGAGTTTTCCTGCCTTGTCATTTTATCCAGATAAGAATATATGAAGGAGCAAATAAAATACTAAAAGGGTGGCAAAGACCCCAGGAAAATGTGCTTTAACCAAATCAGAAGAGACCCCAAATCATGGGGGGAAGAAAAGGGGTAAAAAGAACTTCAGAGAAAAAAAATTTTTTTTTAAAAGTATAAAAAAGAACATATGTTTATTCGACTGGTGAATAGAACAGGGTCACCCACTTAATTTTGGGAATATTTTGGTCTCTTAGAAGAAACTACCTCTCCCAATTTTAAAGAATGAAAAACATATATAAGGGCAAACACGATGAAGGGATGGAATATGAATATAAAGATGAAATATTTTTTAAAAATTTTAAAAAAGGAGTTGATAAGATAAGTTGATTGGGAGAATAAAGAAAAAGAAAGTGGAGAGAATTTGCTCAGGCTGGAGACTAGAACAAAGCCCTGTGCTAGATTTAGGGTATAATTTGATCTATTAGAAGTTGTATCCAAAATTTTTTTTAGAAGAAAAAACCCTTGTATACAAAAAATAAAGTTAGATACAATGAAGGATAAAATATGACTATAATAATGAAGGTTCAAAAAAGATTGTTTTTGAAAGTTATTGTTAAGATTACCTAGTTAAAAAATGTTAAAAGAGGAAAGGGTAAAAGTAAAAAAAAAATTAGCAGAAGAAAAAAAATAAAATTAAAAAAATTAATTAACTTTGCAAGGCTAAAGAATCATGGGGAGAAAGCCATGAATTCCATGCTTTGCTTTCTCCTCCTCTGGAATTCTGCTGTTCTCCTTGGTAAGTGAACTTGGTCATGGCTGAATTTCTTGCTGATCTTCTTGGGGAGGGGCCTGTTGTAGTGACTCTCAAGTGTCTTTGCCCGAGGTGGAATTGCACCACACTTACCAGGGGCTGGGCTAAGTAATCTTCTCATGATCGCTTTTGGGAGCTTTTGTTCCCTGAACACTTTCCATAGAGTTCCGGAGGATGGGAATGAAAATGGCGGCCTCCCAATCTGCGGCCCAGAGGAGCCGAGAGCTCGGGGCCCCACTCCTCAGTGCACCCTTGGAAAAAATTGCTCAATCACTCCCGTCTCCCTGGTCTCCAGCTGCACTCCGAGCTCACCTGGCCTGTCACCAAACGTCTCTGTCTCTGGCATACAGCCCCACCTGCAGTCTCCAAACCCTACAGATCCCTGCACTCTTCCAAGGGGGTGTCCCCAGATCTTTTGGGGTCCCTGCTCACAGAGCAGTGGCCTGTGCCACGGATCACAATTTAAGGTAACCCTGAGTTGAGAGCTCACTCCTCGGCTCCGTCTCGGTAGCCAGCTTCCCCACTCTAATACCTGTGAGTCTGTGACACTCAGACAGCCCCGATCCTTCGATGATCCTGTGGGACCTGAGACCACGCTGTCCCTGCATGGGCTTCACCCTGGTTTAGCCTCTGGAGTGATGTCCCTTAGTGGAGCAGATTTTTAAAAGTTCTGATTTTGTGCTCCATTGCTCCACTTCTTGCTAGGAGCCGGCCCCTCCCCCCGTGTTCTATCTTCCTGTTGCTTTGGATTCACTTCTCCGCCAGTTCTACCTTTCAGAAAGTGGTGGATTTTCTGTTTCTAGAGTTGCTGCTCTTTTTCTCTTCGATCTCCTGTTGGATTTGTAGGTGTTCGGAATGGTTTGATAAGCTATCTAGCTGATCTCCTGCTACCTGATGTTGCTTCAGCCTGCTACTTCTCCACCATCTTGACTCCTCCCTTGAATATGGATTTATGAAGTTATTTCATTTATAGTTGATTGATATTTTATTTTTGCTCTAGTCTGACTAATGTTGGAAAAACTTTGCTCCATTGCTTTTTTCCTTAAGGAACAATACAGAGAAATGATTTTCTTGTTTAATATTGAAGTAAGGGGATGAATGTGAACATTATGTTATAATTCCATTGTCTGATCTCAGTGGCCTTTTGTTTATGGAAAAGAAAAGCTGTCTGGTTGGAGCTTAGGACACAGACGTTATAGAGAATGGAAGACAATACATAGTGTCTTTGTCCTTACTATTTATCTTCATGCCTTCTCTACTGCCCTATTTCACATTCTTAGTGCCAAGGAAATGACGAATAAGCCAGAAACATTTGCATAAGGGCAGTCAAGTGAATTCTTGGTGTCTTTTATACAAATTGGAATCATTGTTTGTTATCAAATATCTGGAAGCTTATGTAATTTCAAAACTTGTTTCTCTTTGGCAGAAATAAGAGAACTGATGTTAGAAAACTTGCTTATCGATTCCTGGTGGATAACTTGAATCCTATAATATTAAATTTTGTGAAAAGGAAGAGGTTCCATCAAGTATTTCTTGAGGAGATGCCCTGGAGAGCTCAGATGAACCTGTATCTGGCAAGTGCACACTTCAACCTGCTTTTAACGAAGCTGGGGGAGCGTACAAAGATGAAATTTGGCCCTTCACATCCAGTGGTCAGGTATAGAATATTATCAGTGAATGGTACTTTTTTAGCATGAGCATAGATTTTGTTTGTTATGTTCAGGGCTCCAAAGTTGATAATAACTTAAAAAGGTTTACAGAGTGCTTCTTTCTTTACTGATCATTGATACATTACTTAATTTCTTGTCTCAGAATCTTCCCCAAACAGGTGCTGGATATAAGCACTTAGGAAGTACTAATCTGCACGTATCTTGAATATGTTTGTTAGTATAGCTTTCTGTGAAGGAGATAGTGTCATTTCAAGAGAAATTTAATATTAATTGTGTATTAACTATAGTTATTAGGTATTAGACAGAGGTAAGTTTCAAAATGATTCAGATGATTCATTTTGAGGTATATTTTAAGCCTCTATAAACATAAATTGTATTTTCTCATACAATGTACATTTTGTATCATTAATTCAGAAGACACTGTTGAGCTCTTGAGTGTCCTTGGCTAAAGTGTTATGGGAGATAAAATAGAAAATAAATACATAATGTGAACTACTATGTAATCTTAAAAAGGGGAGTAGAGTCTTTCAAAAAGAAAAAAATAAAACTGAGCTCCTGTTAGATACAGTTCCTGAGGTAGACAAAATGAGCATGAAAAGATGAGCAGGACATACAAGATAGTGTCTCACAGGGTGGATCACAGGTGTTAATGAATAACTAAATAATGGTATAAGGTGAAGTATACACAAAGTCTTCTTTGTTCATGGGGAAAAGGCTTTTCTCTGACTGAAACTCACAGGAAAGATTTCATGGGGAAAGGCCACTTGGCCTGGTTCTTGATTAATAGGCAAGATTTAGAAATGTGCAGATAGGGAGAGGGGATTCTAGGTGGTTGGAAGCACATGAGTTAGAGCCCAGGTAGGAAACACAGGATGAGAACCTGAAATGGTCTGACCAGAATCTAGGGTAAATGAAAAGGAATAGTGTGAAATAATTAAAAAAAAAAAAAAAAAAAAAAAGAAGATCCATAGCAGATCATGGGGGGGTCTTAACTACTAAATCTGAACTTTAATTTATATACAGTGGTGGATTATTAAGGGTTTTTGAGCAGGGCAATGATAAAAAATTTCTCTGACAGCAACGTATCAAATGGATTGGAGGAAGGAAAGACTGTAACAGGGTTACAAATTAAGAGGTATGTATTTCAATAATCCAGTGATAAAATATGCAGGTGAAATCCATGGTAAACTTGGTACGAGTCTGTTTTCATTAGAATCTGGTTAAATCATTACCAGCTTGAACCTCCATTAAAATGTCTCCAGATAGTTCCTTTTCCTATGCAGGCTAGACCAGATTTGCATTTAAGAAGTAGTTAGATTGCCTGACCAACAGGGAAGGCTTTTGGCAAAGTAACCCATTCATGAAGCCATGAGAGGAGAATGATTCAGATCAGATGGGCTTCCTAACTTTCCTCTGAACACTGAGAAGAATTCTCTGAAATTTCAATCATATATGACCATTCAGACATGATTACTTCATAGCACAGCAATTAGACAATGGCCAAATTTGTATCAGGGTTACTTGGTGCTAAATTCAATTTTACTAAAACCATTAAAACATACTCAATATTTATGTATGCATATATTTTTGCATTTGTTTATTTTTGGTGGAGGATTATTTATTGCTTAGACTTTAATTTATAAAAGACGTAACATTGATTGTGGACACATTGCTTTATATAGTAGGTATCTTCGTTGAGTTGTGTTTTAATCAGGTTAAATTGACATAAATTATTGTTTCAGAGCCTTTAGAATGAATATAGATCATCATTCCCATTTTTGAAGGCCCTTTCGGGGAAATAGATATTGATGTTAAAATTCCTAAGAGCAAAGTTACATTATATAATTTTAAAATTTAATGAGATATTGTTTGACGTTGGTTAAGTGTAAGAATATGTTATGATCCAAAATTTGGAAGCTCTAACTCACAAATAATTTAAAAATTAAAGTAGATTGTATTTGGCAGATTCAATTCAATTTTGTTTATATATTTTTTTAATGATATTTTCCTCCCGGCAGTTTCCGATCATGTGATCCTAATATGTTCTCACTATATAATTCAGGAACAGTATTACCAACAACGAAATTGACTCTAGAAAACTATAAAGTGATACTTGATTTCCTTCATACAGCTAGAAAAAGAAAGGCCAACTTACCATCAGGTAAAATAAAAAATTTATGATGTATACTATCAAATTGCTTCTATATTTTTTTCACTGATACAGCACACACATGAACACACACACACACACACACACACACACACTCCACAGTCATACAGAGGTACACATATCATTTTCCAATGACCCAGGAATTTAATTGAGTTGTGGTATTTTGTAGGATATTCTTATTTTCTCAGTTTTTAAGAATTTTCTGTATTTTTATGGTATGTATTTGGAAATATATATGTTGTATTCTAACCTAAACCAGTGGCTAACCTACATCATTTGGCTGTTTACCAAATATAATGTATGCATGTAATGTATGTATTTATTTTTAGAAAGGGAGAAAGTGGTGGGGAGGGGCAGAGGGAGAGGAAGAGAGAATCTTTTTTTTTTTTTTAAAGATTTTATTTATTTATTTGGCAGACAGAGATCACAAGTAGGTAGAGAGAGAGAGAGGAGGAAGCAGGCTCCCTGCTGAGCAGAGAGCCCGATACGGAGCTCGATCCCAGGACCCTGAGATCATGACCTGAGCCGAAGGCAGAGGCTTTAACCCACTGAGCTACCCAGGCGCCCCAGGAATAGAGAATCTTAAGCAGGCTCCACGCTGGGCTCGATCTCAAAACCCTGAGATCATGACTTGGACCAAAATCAAGAGTCAGACACTTAACCGACAAAGCCACGCAGGCACCCCTAATGTTCTTTTAAAAATATTGGTAGTCTTCTGTTGTTAAGATAGGTGAAGACTTGATATCAGGGGTTATATTTTAGCAGAAGTAAGTTTCAGAACAAATTCCACCACACGTACTGATGTAACTGGCATGGAAACAGTCCTATAGCTGTTTGATAGTACTGATTTTGTACTCAGGGGAGTCTACTCTTGCCTTAGGATCTCCAACTAGCACCTTCCGAGAAAGCTTACTCCCAAGTGAATGCAGTAATATTTGTTTGAATGGCAGGACCAACCTGTATTCTTGTCATCTGCTCAGGTGATAGGAGACTTGCTCTGGGAGGTGGAGAAATGCAAAAGAAAAGAGCTCTTGATCTGGGTGCCACAACTGATGACACTATTCTCAGCAATCACCTATCTTGAATACCACTCACTTCACAAACGAAGATTTCTTTCTAATATCTTCATGCTATTATAAACCCTCTTATGTAGATTTTTAGTAACGGTATTTTAAGTGCTATATAACTTACTGCTGATCAGGATACTTCATTTGCTGGGTAATTGCCCCAGAGTGTTGATTTATATTTGAGGTACTTGATATGCCTTCTGATTTCTTCTAGGGTGTAGATTAGATTTAACTGGTACCTTCATGTTATATATGAATATTGAAGTATTTGAAAGTAAATTCCCTTGACACAGAGCCAAGTTTTATATGTAGATAGTAATATATAGCTTCTTGAGGGTTTTTTTTTTAAAAGATTTTATTTATTTATTTGCCAGAGAGAGAGAGGGAGAGAGAGCACAGGCAGACAGAATGGCAGGCAGAGGCAGAGGGAGAAGCAGGCTCCCCGCTGAGGAAGGAGCCCGATGTGGGACTCGATCCCAGGACGCTGGGATCATGACCCGGGCGAAAGGCAGCCGCTTAACCAACTGAGCCACCCAGGCGTCCCGAGGGTTTTTTTTTTTTAAAACTACCTGCCTAAGACCTTCCATGAAATCACCAATAGAATACTGTGCTATTGAGACTTATTAATTAATGCAAAGTTCTAAGAGAAGGTTTGTGGTAGGAGAAATCTGTGTTTTTATATCACACCAATAAGATAATGCATGGACATGTTTGCTGCACTTTCTAACTCCAGGAAATGCTACTCACCTTCTAGTGTATATGTCCTGGGAATGGACTATTTAGGGAGAAATTAAGGAAATTAAGTGGGATTCTATGATTGGTCCCTTAGAAAACATGACATTCCTGTCTCTGCGTTGTTCCCTTGGCTGTAACCCTTGCCCAGAATGATGTTCTCCATAGTCTTTTTGCATAGCTAAACCATGTTCACGCTTTAAGGCCTAATCTGGACGCCTCCTTCTCTAGAAACTTTCCTTAGTTCATTGTGTCCATGATAATCCCATCCTTTCTCCGAATTTATATAGCATTTCTTATCTTAATTACTCATTTGATGCTTATCAGCTAAGTCTTCTGGAACTTTCTGCTTCCAATAATGTTATACTTTATTTTTGTACTGTAGATGCTGAAGAATTTTCCACATTTATTAATTCCAGAATGAGTGATGAAAATGTGTCCAAGACACAAACAGTTAATGACTCAGACTCTCAGTCAGGTCTTAGTGCTAAAGAAAAGGATCGAGCTGCAAATTTGGGTATATTGGATCATTTTATGAAGATCTTCTTATATTGCAGGAGAGCAATGGTAAGGTGCTAAATTTTTATTTTATTTTAATTGAATTTTAGCTAATTTGCTAAATTAATAGACACAAATCTCAGCCATTTGTTTGGGCATGTAAGATGTGCTTATTTACTTACTATCCATAATTTTAGTTTCGACTTTGAAACTAAATTTGCTGGGTTTCACATCAGTCATTTTTGAGGTTTGCCTGCCATTAGTGCTAAAGATTTACACCTTGTGAGGCTGTCAGGGAGAGGAGAAAGCTGCTTTAGTCATCATTCATCCATTGGTGTGGAGCTGAGGTGGCCTTTGCCCTTGTCTACACAACCTCTGTGAATATACAGATACTCCTTTGCAACTTTCTTGGCCACATTTGGGACATGGCTGTCTATGATGGTGACACCAGTGGTTCCTTTCTGGAGTCTTACTCCTACCTGGGGTACGATAGATCACTTTATTCCCTCTAACACAGGGAACACTCTTTCTGGGCAACAGAAAAATCCTGCTCCTAGCTCCTGATCCCTTGCTTCTACAAGCCAATTGTGTCTTCTCTCAAATACTTTTCTTTTTTTTCTTAAATATTATATGATACATTATTAAACTTAGAATTGGAATCATTAGCTACAAAGGAATTAGTTTCCTTTTTCTCATTGCAGGAATGGCATATACTTCAAACCTCTCAAGAGTTGAGAGGAAATCGATCCTTTCTAGAACAATTTCATTCCCATTTTCTCTGTGGAGAAGGTGATTTCTTAAAAAATACGAAGCAAACCCACATCATCCCCCTTGACCATGGGCACTGCATCCTATCCTTCCACCAGCTTCAGGGCCCTGAAAGGTCTGGGTCTTGCTCAATTCTTGGAACTCAGTTCATCTTGCTCTCATTCAGTCCACTCTCCTCTGTGTGATCTTGAGAGCACAGATCTTGTTCCTTTCTCATCCCTCAAATTCATCCTCCATCCTTTGCAGTTGCTGCTCCCTCAGTTTCAAATGCTGTCCTCCCAACACCCTCTTCCCCACTTTCACATGATTTGTTCAACTCAACATTCAAGTCTCTGATCATGTCACCTCCTCAGAGAGGACTTTTTTCCTGATCACCCCCATCTAAAAGGGCATATCATCTCATGCTTGTCAGATTCTAACCCAATTCTGCTTTATTTTTCTTTACAATACTTATTATTCCCTGGAACTACATTTTTAAAAAATTTTATTTATTTGACAGACAGAGATCACAAGTAGGCGGAGAGGCAGGCAGAGAGAGAGAGGAGGAAGCAGGCTCCCCGCTGAGCAGAAAGCCCGATGTGGGACTCGATCCCAGGATACTGAGATCATGACCTGACCTGAGCCAAAGGCAGAGGCTTAACCCACTGAGCCACCCAGGTGCCCCTGGAACTACATTTTTATTTGTCTACTTATCTAGTGTCAGTCACCCCTAATAAACTGAAGCAACATGAGGGCAGATCCGGTTACCCTTGTTCATTGCCACATTCTCAGAACCTAGAACAATGGAAATGTTTTGAGTCAGACTGCTGGTGTGCAAATCTTAGCTAACCACTTAGTAGATCATGACCCTGTGCAAGTTAGCTCCAATCTGTGTTTCCTTATCTGTAAATTAAGAAGAATGCTAGTGCATGCTTATTTCATAGGAGCTATTGTTAGAATTAACTGAGATAATGATATAAATGACACAATAAATGGTGTTATTTTTTATTGTTGACATAATTTTTGCAGAAAGATGAAGTTGTTCAGAGATCTCTAACTTTTGAAAGTTTATTTTTTTAAATGTTGTCTTTGTTTTAGGTTCTTGCTCATCGTGGTGGCTATTGGACTCTGCTTCAGAACTGCTGTCGGGCCCTTTGGAACTTTACTCAGGAGCTACAGATACTTCTTAAACAAACAGTGGATATATATAAAACATTTCCTATTAGCCAGGATTGTTTCCTCTGTACCTGTGTTTTGCCATTTTATTTGGGAGCAGAATTACTTATTGACATGTTAGTAGAACTACAAAATATTGATTCTATTAAGGTAAGGGCACTTGGGTAATTATTTTTACTTCATCCAATTAATAAGTACTTTTTACTGTGCACATTGGGATAAATAGAAATTAATATTTTCCTTGACTTATTACTTAGTTTGTCTACATTTCATTTGCTTCATTAATATTTGGTTCACAATACACAGCTCACATTGATGTTAATTGTAAATATCTTAGCCTGAAAATCCAACTTTTTAAAGGAAATAGTAACCTGTACTGAGCTCCAGCTTCTGTATAAACTAACTATAATGCATTTAATCCTCATAGCAATTTTTTTGACAGAGAAACAGACTCCAAGAGAGATCATATAGCTTGTCAGTTGCTCTTTACCTCACTGCTTTATCTGTCCTTGTTCTATTATTTGCAATCTGGTAGTATTTGTGACCATTTAAAATCTACCACACTATGGTTTAAAACATGAAAATACAATAGAAAAAGTGCAATCATTATGTAATCTAAACACACTGAAAATTAATAAGCACTAAACACATTAAGGCATGGAATGTATAACCTTTCTAGATATAAAATATGTGAAAACTTTAGCACAAAGGACAGAGTAATGTTTTTTACACTTTATATAAAGTGGTACACTATTAACTCTACAGGGAATGTGATAAGTTAAGGATGCATTTAATCATTAGAGTAATACCAAAAAAGAGATACAGCTAAAAAGCCATTGCAGTGAAGTAGAAACTAAATAGTGGTCAATGAATTAAAGAAGGCAGAAAAAAAGAAACAGAGGAACAGAAACATATGGGCAAAAACACAAAGCAAATAGCAAATAATAAATCTACCCCAATCATACCAATTACTGTATTAAATATAAGTGGTTTAAACACGCTGATCAAAAGGCAGAGATTGTTGGACAAAAAAGACATGTAATAGCTGACCATATGAGGAGTATTCTTAATATAAATAAATTGAAAATAAATTGTGGAAAGAGACATACTAGGAATACAGTAAGCATAAAAATTTTTGAGACTTTATTAATATTAGATAAAATAAACTTTAAATCAGGGAGTATTTGGACAGATAGAGACATTTCATAATGAGAAGAGGTTCAGTTAATCAAGAAGACATACTAATCATAAATGTGTATGCTCCTAATAAGAGAAATTCAAAGTACACTCTGGACACCCAAAGCATGAAGAGCTTCCAGAATGGTGGAAACATTGATATGTTGGCTGGTTGTTGTGGTCTGACTCCATGGGGAGAGGGCATGGAACCCCCTTATCCAGGACCCTTCCAGACTATGTACCTCTTTCATGTGGCTGTCCCTGAGTTGCATCCTTTATAATAAAACTGTGATCCTATGTATAGTGTTTTAAGTGAATGCCAGCCAATTACTGAATCTGAGGGGGTTATGGAAACCCCTAAATTTATAGCTGTTCTGTCAGAAGTGCAGGTGACCTGAAACTAGTGGCTGATTTCTGAAATAAGGGCAGTCTTGTGAAGGACTAAGTCTTTAAACTCTGAATTTAATTCTGGATAAGTAGGTAGTTCAAGTGCAGTATACATAATAAAGTAAGTAATAATAAAATTTAAGTAAGTCATAATAAGTAAGTTAAAATAAAATTTAAAATACTGAAATCTTGAAGAGTATGTTCTCTGACCCCTACCTTATGAATAGACCAATAAAAATTAGGAAGAAAAATCTCCCAAGTATCTGGAAATTAAACAACACAGTTCTAAATAATCCATGGGTCAAAGAAGAAAGTATAAGAGAAATTTAAAAATATTTCAAACTGATGACAACATATCAAAATTTGTGAGATGCAAATAAAACAGTACGTAGAGGAACTTAATAGTTTTAAATGTTTAATAGAAAGGCTGAAAGATATAACATCACTTTCTAAGTGTCCACCTATAGGGGCTCAAAAAAGAAGAACAAATTCAATCCAAAATAAGTAAAAAGAGCAAGGGAAATAAAATGAAAGAATAAGAGCAGAAATAATTTAGTTATAAAAAAACCAAAATTAATAAAATTAATAAATTAATCATTTGAAAAGATTATTAAAATCAGTGGAATCCTAGGAATACTGATAAAGAACAAAAGAAAGAAGAGCATAAATAACTGACATTAATGATGAAAGAAAGATATAACTACAGATCTGGTAGATACTCAAAGAAAAATAAGAGAATATTATGATCAGTTTTTACTAATGAATTTGATAACTTTAAATGAAATGGACTTGTTTATCACAAAGCATAGCTTAAATCTGACACAAGAAGCAATAGAAAAAATAAACTGCCCTAAATATATTAAAGAAAATGAATTTATAATTAAGAATTTGGAGAGAAAGAAAACTCCAGACCCAGAATATTTCCCTAAAGAATTTGAGCAAATATACAAGGACAAAAATAATAAATCATACGCAAACATATTTTTAGAAGCAAAGCCAGCTTAACCCTGACAGATATATCAAAAAGAAAGGTATGGGGGCACCTGTATGGCTCAGCTGTTAAGCATCTACCTTCAGCTCAGATTATGATCCCAGGGTCTGGGATTGAGCCCCACATTGGGCTCCCTGCTCAGCAGGAAGCCTGATTCTCCCTCTCCTACTCCCCCTGCTTATGTTCCCTCTCTCACTGTGTCTCTCTCTGTCAAATAAATAAATAAAATCTTTTAAAAAAGTATGAATTAATCAATATGCCTCATGAACATATGAACATAGGCACAAAACTCCTTAATGAAATATTAGCAAATCAGTTCCAGCAATATATAAAATACGCAAATGAGGTATATAGTATCTACAATTATACAAATGATGACCAAGTGGGTTTATCCCAGAAATGTAAGGTTAACATTTAAAGATCAATCAGGCAATGCCTGGGTGGCTCAGTTGGTTAAGCATCTAACTCTTGGTTTTGGCTCAGGTTGTGGTCTCAGAGTGGTGAGATCAAGGATCATGTTGGGCTCTGCACACAGTGTGGAGTCTGCTTGAAATTCTTTCCCCCATCGTTTCCCTCCCCGTCTACTCCTCCCCCTGTTTGGGTGTGCTGTCTCAAAAAAACAAAACAAAACAAAACAAAAAACCTTTAAAGAAAAAAAGATCAGTCAAGGTAATTCACCATATTAACAGGATAAAAGAGACAAATTATATGACCACTGAAATAGATAGAGCAAAAGCATTTACAAAATTTGATATCACTTTTCTCACCTGTTCTCCCTGCCCTTAAGTGCTGCTCTAGCTGCACTGCTCTTGCTCTGAATTCTGGGTTCCTGCTAAGCCAGGGCTGCTGTTTTCTTTCTCTGGCTGCCATCATGATTATCTACCTGGACCTCATCAGACATGATGAGATGTTCTCTGACATTTACAAGATTCAGGAGGTTGCAAATGAGCTGTGCCAGGAGGTGAAGGAGAAAATAGTAGGGCAGAAGGTACCATTGATGGAAAGGTACTTTGCTGAAGGCCCTGAAAGTGAAGGTACTGAAAGCACAGTAATCATTGGTGTTGATATTGTCAGGAACTATTACTTACAGAAAACAAACTTCACAAATGAAGCCTATGAAAAGTACATCATAGCTTATAGGAAATCAGTCTAAGGCAAACTTGAAGAACAGGGACCAGAAAGTATAAACCTTTTATAACAGAGGATGCAGACAAATCAAGCACATCTTCGTTAATTCAAAAACTGCCAGTTCTTTATTGGTGAAAACGTGAATCCAGATGGCATGGTAGCTCTGCTGAACTACCATCAGGATAGTGACCCCATATATGATTTTCTTTAAGGATGAAATGAATGTTAATGTAAATGAAAAAATTTTAACAAAATGGAAAAAAAATGTTAACAAAATGCCAATTACATTGGATCTATCACCTGTCATCATAACTGGCTGCTGCTTTTCACACAGCCACACTAACACCAGGACTTGGACAAGTGGTTGATGTCATCCTGATCTTTTCACTTATTTTAATACTGATTTATTTGGAGTGGAGTCATTTTTTTTTTTAATTTTTAAGAAAAAGCCATATGTAGGTTGCTTAAAAATAAAATGCATTTAAACTTATTTGAGAGGATACCTCTTACTTTAATATGTGTTGAAACTAAGTCTGTCTTACAGTGTTCTAGAGAAGATAGAGCCTGGTTGTAGATCGCAAATGGATAGCATAAAACTGTCTTCAGGTAACTTCAGGTAAACAGGGAAAACTACTTCTGGGACTAGTATATTAAAAACAAAACAAACCAAAACTTAACAAGAATTACAAGTATTAATTCTAAGTTGAAGTTAAGGAAAAGACCATATTCGTAGAGTGTCAGATGTGAAGTGGATGATTATACATTTCATCACCTACAAACAGAAGTAGTTAACTCAGAGAGAGATTATCAAGAGAGTAAAAGAGACTAATACAATTGGAAGCAAAACAAAAACAATGTCATTGATGTTAAAGACTCTCAGCAAACTAGGAATACGTGATAAAAAGTAGTATCTAGTGTTAACATCATACTTAATGGTGAGGTATTGTGAGCTTCCCTCTAAGATTGGGAACAAAGCAGGATGTCTGCTCATACCACTTTTGCTCAATATCATGCCAGAGATCCTGACAAGTACAATAAGGCAGATAAAGAAACAAAAGGAATGCGGATTAGAAGGGAATAATATGAGTTTTTGGATAGAAAATTCCAACTTGTTAGGACTCTATAAAGCAACTACTAGAACTAATAAACAAAATACCAGCACATAAAGTCAATATAAAAAATAAGTTTCTTTGTACTAACAGAAAACAACTAGGAAATGACATTTTAAAAATACCATTCAAAATATCAAATTTCTAGGACTATATCTAAGGAAATATATATTAGATTTTTACACTGAAAATTGTAATGCATTGCAGAAAAAAATTAAAGGTCTAAATAGACATAGACATATCATATTCATGAATCAAAAGTCTTAATATTGCTAGGATATCATTTATTTCCAGTTTGGTCTATTGATTCAGTGAAATTCTAATGAAAATTCCAACAGACATTTTTTTCAGTGTAAATTGACTGTTCATTTTAAAACTTATAAGCAAATACAAAGAAATGTGAACGGCCAAGAAAGTCTTTGAATTTGGAGAACTCCTTACCTGATTTCAAGGTTTAGCAATGCTGTAGTAATTAGAAGAGTATGATATTGGCATAAAGAGAAACATATCAATGGAAAAAACAGAAACTCTCAGAATAGACTCATACATATGGTCAATATTTTACAAAGGTGTCAAAGTGACTCAAAGGACTCAAAAAGAAATGACAACTCTTAGCACCCAGATATGTTCTTTAAAAACCATTTCCCACTAAAAGAAATAGGACTCCTTGGTGGGGGTGGGGGAGAAAAAGGACTGATTACCATTTCCATTTCTATGTGAACTATGATTGAGGATAGCCAAATAGTACAGTCAAGGAAGAGAAAATTTTCTTTATAGAATTTTCAGGTAGTAAGTAAAGAAAAAATGTTGAAATTAGAATATGAGGATTTTGCAATTCTTTATGAATTCATGGGGGGATGAACAGCACCAGTGAAGTATACCTGTTGGAAAAAAATAAACTGGAAGCAGAGCAAGCATTTAAATCTAACCAACAACTTACAGAAGATCCAGGGGACAGAGAAATATTTAAAATGAAACGATGCATCACTAGAAATTCTGACTATGGAAACTCTGTAAGACAAACAACCTGGTTTCTTCAACAAAAAATTGAAGTAAAAAAAGAAACCTGTATATTAAAAAAGACTTAAGAGACATAAATAATTGCAATGTTTGGACTTTATTTTGATCCCATTTCAAACTAATGCACTAAAAAATTTATCAGCTATAAAGGAAATGTGAACACTATTCAATAATGTTTTGAAGGATTTTTTGCTAATTTCTTTTTTAGGTGGGATTATATATGTGGAGGAAACCAAGTAGGTCTCAAAAGTTGATAATTGGTTGAACCTAGTTGTGGGTACATAGGGCCTCAGTATATTATTTTCTCTGCTTTTATAAGTGTTAGACATTTTCTTTAATAAAAGGTTTTTAAAAATTACACATGAAAGCTATAGTGGAAGATATAGTAACCACAGAGGGCCTCCCGATCCTTCATCCCAGAAGTAAACTTAACCATGTAGGCATAAATGACTAACTGAGAGCGGATATCCTTCTTCTTCAGGAATGGCCCAGGAAAGTTATTTCAGTTGGACCCAGGAAATTTACCCATGTCTGAAGAAAGAATATGACATCCTATAGGCTAGCAGGCTCTGACAGAGCCATCACCTGGGAAAAGTTGAGTGGGACAGACTTGATTTCTTTACACTCACCAAGAGGATTGAGTAAAGGCCAAGAGTGCCTCTACTTGGAACCCTGAGGTCAAGGAAATGGAGATAACCCCTTATACAGCTCTGTGCTGCTGGAAGAATTACTGTAGAATCAGTGGGTAGAAGGATGGAGCTCATAATATCAATAAAATGGAAACTATCCTTTACTGAGTATGTCCCATGTGCCAGTGACTGTACTAAGGAGGCAGATTCACACAGGTCAGATACGGCACACCTGTTATTCACACACAAGACTGGCTTGAGGCATTCATATTACATTCCACAGTCAAATGACTTCCTAAGTCTCTTCCAACCTCAAGGACCATGAATCTTGTTAGAGATGTTTGTCCTCTACTTCTGTTGGTACAATCCCTCCCTTTTGTGTGGATTATACATAATAGTAACATCAGCTTAAGAGGGGCTGGTGTTGAGTTACCCAACTATTTGTTGGACTGCAACCTGGCTTATAGGTGGATCTAAGGGCTTTTGTTTGCCTCAAGAATTTCTAAGGATATACATAAATGCGTAAGGGACTCGGAAATGAATAGATTAGTTACATAGTACCTCTAAGTTAGGCAGAAACGGTTTTTCTAGAAGATTTCCTTCTCCATATGTTTGACATTTGCATCAGGGAATTGGATATACTATGCCACAAACTGGTAAATGTAACTAATGCATTATGGAAACTTAATAGTTTTTATATACTAAAACCTGTTTCAAAACTTTATTTTATTCGTTTAATATCCTTACTTACATATGTGGTGACTGAGGACCAGGAAGTATGGCCCTCAGTCTGTGTTGTCTAAGATGGTAATGACTAGCCATATGTGGCTATTTAAAGTTAAGCTTAAATTAATTAAAATTAAATGAAATTAAAAATCCAGTTGCAACAGTCATATTTTGATAGCTCCAGTATCCACACATGCTTGGTGGCTACTATATCAAGCAACACAGACGTAGCACATTTCTATCATCATAGAAAGTTCTGTTGATTAGCAATGTTCAAGATTTGATTTGCATGATAAAAACATTTAAATTTTTTAATCTTAAGTTCTTTTCCTGTTATATTTTTCTATCTCATTCAGTTTTCAAAAAATTTGTAGTGATATCTGAAAATACACACATTTTTTTTCCCATGTACTACTTGCAGGTTGTTGAAGAAAAAGGGGAGTTCAGTGTTCCAAGCTGCTATGGAAATATTAAAAATGATAATGGTGGTTCTAGCCTTGATTTCGAACATCTTCTGGATGATGTAAATGTGGTTGATTTAAAATGGATCCATAATTTTGTATTGAAATCTCTGGAACTTTTATATCAAGTGGAAAAATGGGAAACACTGGTATCACTTGCTATCCAATTCAATACAATTTCACAGTAAGTATTACTGTAAGGGCAATCAAAAGTGGCAAGCTTTCATTTAAAAAAATGCATTTTAACTAATGTCTGCTTTTTAATGTATTTTTACCCCTCTCTAGTGAGAGATACACAGAGCAAGTGACACCCCTCCTAGTGTATGCACAGCGTCAACTTCTTCTAAGAATATCCAAGTTCAATGGCCCGGATGTTACCCAACAAGCTTGTGCAAGATATGAGGCTGAATACAACGAGAAGGTGAATTTGGCTCTATTATTCATACAGTTGTGATTTCTGATAAGTGCACATATGCAATATAAAGATTTAGGATTCAGATAAATATTATTTTTACTTAGGCATTTATCATTCAAATCAACAAATGTTATTGAAAGCTTGCTATGTGCCAATATTTTCCATGTACAGGGTAAACAAAAATTAAGTCCTTGTGCATAAGAAACTTACGTTCAGGCCAGAGCTGATATATTCATTAGGCACAGTGTGGACATTGTCTAGAACCACAAAAATTTTAGAGGCCCACTAAATGTGTTTTAATTTTTTTTAATGTGAAGAAAAAAGTAACATAGGTCAAAGAAAATGTTTTAATTTTTACTACTACTATAATTGTATTTATGCCAACGTAATCATATGATACAATTTTTAATATTTTCCCTTAAAAGTGAAAGTCTGTAAGGACCACGAAAGTCATCATACAGCTTTGAGTTAGATGGAGGAAAGGGAAGTAAATTCTTTCTTTTATTTATTACTTTAATAAATGTGTATCAACTATCTTTTTTTTTTAAAGATTTATTTATTTATTTATTTATTTGACAGAGAGAGAGAGAGAGAGAGAGAGATCACAAGTAGGCAGAGAGAGGCAGGCAGAGGGGGTGGGGGAAGCAGGCTCCCTGCGGAGCAGAGAACCCGATGTTGGGCTCTATCCCAGGACCCTGAGATCATGACCTGAGCCAAAGGCAGAGGCTTAACCCACTGAGCCACCTAGGTGCCCTGTGTATCGACTATCTAATACCAGAGCCATGGCATATAGTTATACAGTTTTCATCCTGGCCCAGGGCCCCCAGTGTACATGAAGACTGAAATCTAGTCCCACGTATTCTAACATGAGAACACAGTCTGAGTTCTTGCTTTATAGGGTTTAATTTTGGAGGAGTAGACGTAGGGCCAGATAATAAACATGTAAACAGATACATAAAGAGATTCATGATCATTATGAGTCTTCGAAGAGAATAAAATGGGTCCGTGGGTTAGAGATAGGTGGAGTGGGAGGTAGAAAGCTGGAATGCCTCTTGGAAACTGTAACCTTTGATGAAAAATGGCCAGCCATACATAAGAGAGAGCCTTTTAGCCCAAGAGAAGAACAAGAGCAAAGGCCCTGGGGTGGGACAGGAAGAAGGTCTGAGTGGCTGGAATGTCACAGACAGGGCCAAGGGTAAAAACAGGGGTGTTTTTCTATTTCCTCTTCTCCCCAAGTTCTTAATGTTAGTGTGTCCCAGGACTTTGTTCTTGGTCCTCCTATCTTCTTTATCTGCATCCTCTCCCTTGGTGAGCTCATTCAGTCTGTGGCTCTAAGTACTGTCTTTATGATAATGACTTTTGAAATTATAGCTCCAGTCTAGAACTTTCTCCTTAATTCTGTGTTGACATGTAATTCCCTGTATCAGTCAGGGTTCAATCAGAGAAACAGAACCAGTAGGATTTATTATCTATCTGCCTATCTATTTTTCTATCTGTCGTGTATCTATCAAGATTTATGACAAGGAACTGGCCTATGTGATTGTGGGGGCTGGCCAGAGAAGTCTAAAATTGTAAGGTCGTCAGTCAGGATCACCAGAGGGAAGGAAACTTACAGGTGTGGCCAGAAGCTGTTATCCTTAGGCAGTCAGTGAGGGATGATCCAATGAGTAGAACTGGATGCTGTGTGGAGTCTGGAGACCTCTAGCACATCAAGGACTCACCTGCTTAGGTCAGGCCCACTGAAGATAACCTCTTTAGTTTAAAGGAAATTTATTAGGGACTTTAATTAGTATCTGCAAAATTCCTTCATAGCAGCAGCTAGATTAGTGTTTGAATAGCTGGGATGAAGTGTGTATATGCTACAAAATGGATACTTCCTTTCCTTTTGTCCTCATAGTTTAGCCTAAGCAAGTTGATCCATCAAAAAACTGTCTTGCTGCCTAATCTACATGATCTCTTAGATGTCTAATACACTTCTGAAATTTAGTATATTTCAAACAAACCTGTTCTGACAAGTCTTCCCCACTTCAGTTGATATCAACACTGTTCTCCTAGTTGCTCAGGCCAGACACCTTGGAGACATCCCAGACTCCTCTCTTGCTTGATTACTCCATTACAAATTGGTTATCAAATCATCTACCTTCAAAATGTATTCAGAAACTGACCACTTATCACTACCTTTACCACTCCTCCTCTGATCCAAGCCCCTGTTATATTTGCTTGGATTCATGCAATGACTTCCTAATTAGCCTTCTTGCTTCCAACCTCCCTGAATCCCTGCCTCTAGCCTATAGTCTTCTCTCAATGCAGCAAGTAGAATGACCCTTTAAAAACCCAAGTCAGATCATGTTCATCCTCCTCTTTAAATCCTACAACAACTTCCCATCTGATTCAGAGAAAAGGTGAACATCCTTGTCAAGGCCTTAATGCCCCACACATTTTCCTGTGATCTCCGGTGACTCATCTGTACTCCTCCATAGGTTTCAGCTTCTCTGTTCTTTAAGACTTCCTGCTTTGGGATCCTCCCATTTGCTGCTCCCCTGCTTGGGATGCTCCTCTCCCAAATATCCACACTGATTCTTTCTCACTTTTTTCTAGCTTTTGCTAAATGTCGCTTTCTGTGTGAGAAATATTCTCACTATCCTATATAAAATTATGTACTTATTTGCTCTATTTCTCTCTATAGCATATATAACTCTTTAATATACTCTATAATTACTTCTCTATTTTCTTCATTATATTTCTACTTTCTCTAGAGTAAGTTCCATAAGAAAAGGAACTTTTGTTTGCTTGTTTCCTTTTGTCTAAAACTTTTCAGATTTCAGATATTTTATAATCTTAGGACTTAAGTGTCTGTTAGAAAATAAATTTTTAAAATACTACAGAGGACGGGGCGCCTGGGTGGCTCAGTGGGTTAAAGCCTCTGCCTTCGGCTCAGGTCATGGTCCCAGGGTCCTGGGATCGAGCCCCGCATCAGGCTCTGTGCTTGGCGGGGAGCCTGCTTCCTCCTCTCTCTCTGCCTGCCTCTCTGCCTACTTGTGATCTCTGTCAGCCAAATGAATAAATAAAATCTTAAAAGAAAATAAAAAATAAAATACTACAGAGGACATTAGTTCTGAAAAACTTCACCCAGGGAAGTTTAAATTGCATTTATTATGAGTAGGGTGGAAAAATCAGCCACTGGAAAAGCAGCCTATATTTTAGATATGTTTCAACTTGCATAATAGAAGATATATTTAGACTAGTGGATTTATAGAATATCAGAAAATCATATTTTAATTGCTCTACATAATTTGCCTAATGCTTCTCCAGCTGTGCTGAACAAAAGAGATATAAAAAGTTATGTGGCTGCTTTTTTTTGCTGAAAGTTGTCATGATCGAGTGCTACTCTGCTAGCTTTCATTTGAAGCATCCTTTTGTATTTCTTCTTTTTGACAAGTGAAAAATAAGATAAACATTTTAAGTAAGCCAAATTTCTAGCCATAAATGCCTGACCAAATGGTATTTGTTTTCCTTTTTCCTTTTTCAGATAACCTGCCGAAATTTCGTTGGGAAGCAGCTCAAGATTAATCCTTCGACCAGTGAAGTAACAGATACAGAAAACGGCACAGATAGCCTAAAAAAGTTTATCGGTTCAGGTTGGAACCATTTCAGCTTGAAGCTTTTTTAAAGCAAAGTTTGCTGTTGTGTTCTGCGTGTCAGCTCTTCCATAATTAAAATGTTTGCAAAATCTCTTTTGCAGGCTTATTGGACTGAAAAAAACCCATTTGATATTTACCATCTTATGTTGCTATAAATGTCACACACGAGGAATTAAAACCCATGTTTATTAGTTTAATCTATAAATTAAAGAAGGGAAAGAAAAAGAGAAAGGAAAATTATTTGAAAAATAGGCATGGAAAAAGACTGTTTTCTGCATTTCCCCATTTTTATTTCACTTGGGAGCTCTTCAAATAGACCTGTTGCTATTCTCTTTGAAGTTCTGTCTTGACTCTCATAATAATTCCCATTCCCATAATCAATGTAGATTGTCCTCTTATTGGCTCTTTCATGGTTAAGTTGTAGGTCTTCTCATTAGAGCGCAGAAGACACTGGGACGTTGTGGCTCCTTTGCTTTCAGAGGAGAAGTCCTCTTGGAATAGTTTGGCAGTACAGCTTATAGGATTAAAGCAATAGAATAAGATGAAAATGGAGAATAATGCTTTCTCTCAATTGTGCTTGTCATGTGCCTCTGTTTCTGGTATAAGAAAGAAATGCAAATCTTCCCTTTGTCATGTTAGGATTCTTTCATCTATTTATCTACAGATTTTATGTATCTGTGTGTGTAAGTATATAATCATCTATTCCTTTACTGAGACAGGTAGGAGGCCATTCAGTCATCCGGCAAACATTTACTGCATGTGTATTCTGTGTTAAGTGCCATACTGGGTACTGTAACTACAAAGAGAATAAAGATTTATTGAGATTAAAGATTTGTTATCCTGGAATTTACAACCCATTGAAAGAGACTGATAAAGCAGAGACTATGGTATAGAGTGATAAGATCTGTCATATGATGACTATCCATGCTGTTTTCCCCTGTAGGCAGTAGTACTATGGAGAGACTGTGTGTAATTTGATGGAGCTAAAGGAAAAAGGAAAAGGCACATTTGAGGTTAGAAAGTTTGGCAGGAAGGCCTTAGAAGGCAGGATAAAGAGCAGCAGATCTATCCGGAGGGCTGAAGGAAGCTAGTGATAAGGATTTAAAGCCGGGCTGTGAATGATCGTATTTGCGCTGCTGAAAGAACCTTAGGTAGCAATGTGGGGAACCAATTGAAAGCACAGCAAATGGAAGCAGAATAGCAGCTACCCCTAATCCCTAATCACATTAGAGACGTGATGAGGCTCGGACCTAGGTGAAGAGGACACAGGAGTAGACAGATACAAGAGAAAGGTCAAGGAAGTCCCCAGGACTGTGTTCTGTACTGGTTAGATGAAGATGGGAAGAGTCCAAAATGCCTTGGTTTCTGGGTTGGTTGGCTCGGTGGATGTGATGTCCTGACTCTACAGGAAAACTGAAGGGAGGAACAGGTCAGAGAAAGTTGCTTTGGAAGTACTGAGTTTGAGGTGCCAGGATGATAACTGAGTAGAACTAGTCAGTATATGGTTGGATAGACTGGTCAGACATTCAGCAGAGATTTGTATTTTCATCATCAATATATTGCTGGTGGTTGAATTCAGGGGCTTGTATGAGGTCACTCGGAGAGTTTTACAGATGGCCTCACTTTGGAAGCTATGTCGTTCAAAGTGGGCTACGCTATACAGTAGTAATAAATAACCCCCAAATCTCATTGCTTTCACACAAGGGCAAGTCCATTTTTTTTGCTCATGCTACTGTGCTCATTGAGTTGAGTACTGAGCTGCTGCTTATCATAAGTGGATGGAATCTCCATCTTGACACAAATTTCCATGATGGTGTCCAAGACAGAAAGGAGAACATGAATTTACCCTCCAGAGGAGCCATGCTGAGAGGCTGGGGCAGAAGGGAAGGAAAGAATGGGCCCAAACATAGGAAGTTTATAGGTGGTAAGGGTAGAAGTTGAAGATATTCTTCTTGGGTACTGAAGATTTTCTTAATAAAGCAAAGGGTTGAGATTATAGTCAAGGTTGCTAGGGTAGGAGATTTCAGGAGGAATGAGAAAGAGTGGCCTGGCCCCTGAGGGAAATAGAAAAAAGATAGAAGAGGTTCGGAGCTAGCTGGTAGATGTGTAGAGGTCCCACTTGAGGGAGTTGGTGACCACAAACCTGTGTCTTTTACCACCAATGATAAATCAAATTATCCCCTCATTTTAATTAAACAATGGCATTCCAATCAGTGTGATTCTTCCTGGTTACATTCTTCTTTTCTTGACCAAATCATCAAACCTCTGGAGAGCTCTCAATTTGGGATCTGCAACTCAGAATGGGATTTATATCATCCCTTCCATCCTAAAAAGAATGGACAACAAATGTGAGAAAATGTGTCAAAAAGCTTATTATCAAATATGATGACTACCACTTAAGGGATAGGAAAAGCATTCCTAGCATGTGTGTCCAGTAGGTCTTACAGATGGTGGATGCAATACGTTAGGAAAGTAATTTGCCTTCTTGTTAAAGCTATATTTGGAAAGGCAAGATTGCAGGTGGTAGCTGGGATCAGGTTACCATGATTATTTGGATTGATTCTCAATGGTGGTGGAGCTATAGTCAGTTTGAGCAATGACTACAGCAGGAGTATTTGAATGGATAAAATATAAAAAATATTGTAGTGGCAGTAATAATGAATTGGTCCATGCACTCTGTTGACCATACTATAACCATTAGCTTTTAAAATTTTTACACTTTTAGGGGGTAGATATTATGCTTACATTACAGATGAGAAAATTAAATGTTACTAGTAAGCAGAAGAACTTTGGTTCAAACCCTAGGCTCTCAGTCTGATTGCTCAGCTCTAAGTGCTCCACCAAACTATTTGACCTATTCACCATTTGTCCTGTTTCAGATTTGTCTCTCCTCTAAACTGACAGCACTCAGAAAAATTTTGCTATATATCAGTGGTCATGGGAATTATTCTTACTTACTGTAATAGTAGGGTAGTTTTTAGATGATCCCGCATACTAATTGTTTTACATTGAGCCATTATCATTAAAATCTTGGCATCCACTTAGAGTTCTTTATAAGACTCCAGGACCTCTGTGACTAGGAGCTTATTTTGGCCCACGCTTTTGGCATTATTTGGCAAATTTTTAGGAGGGTGAATTTTTTTTCAGTGTCCTGAACTCAGATCATTAACATGTTTATAACCATGATGGGTCTTAGGTATGTCATCATGACATGTTTGCAGTACTTTGGAAAGACCAGGTATACTCTTGCTGGTTTCCACACCAGATTGCTGCTTTAGAACATCATAGATTTTCTTTTGGTGTAACAGCCCTGAGCAGTAATGTTTGATACATTTAATTCTTCAGAACGGATATTGTAATGCTCCAGTGCCTACGAACATTTGGTGTTCTCATTATTTAACAGCATTCTGTTCTCCCTCTAACTATTTAATAATGCATATGTAATGTGGTATAGTCTCTGTAGGATGTGGAGAAGTGAGAATACCTCACTTAATAGATTATTTTTTGTATGGATGAGTAACTTGCCTGCTTGTTAAGCTTCACAGGGGAGATAACTATGAATATGCCTTTTATTATGGTTATTTTTGCATTCTGTCTAGGATCTGATTCTTGAGTTTTGACTTTATTGGTATTTAAGTTTTCTCTGATAGGGCTCTTCAGTCTTCAGGTACATTTTCATACCTGCAATTCAAATTTTCAACCTTTGGCAGGTGTGTTTTATAACTGACTCTGGGCTTTTGTTTTGGTGTGACCAATTGTGTAGAAAGCAGCCCGAATTTTGTAGTATTCCCTGGGATTCTTCCTTGGTGTACCCATCTCTCAGGAGTCATTGGCATTTCGTTTTTGTTTTTTTTAAATTAATTTATTTTATTTTATTAATTTACTTTTTTAAAGATTTTATTTATTTATCAGAGAGAGAGAGAGAGAGCGAGAGAGCATGCACACATGCACAAGCAGGGGGAGCAGCAGACAGAGGGAGAAGCAGGCTCCCTGCTGAGCATGGAGCGGGGACTCCATCTCAGAACCCTGGGATCATGACCTGAGCCGAAGGCAAACACTTAACTGACTGAGCCACCCAGGCATCCCTATTTAAATTTGAGGTGGGGAGGGAGTGTGGGAGGGGGAGGGGCAGAGGGAGAAGGTGAGAGAGAGAATCCTCAAGCAGAATCCCTGCTGAGCTTAGAGCTTACACAGGCCTTGATCTCATGACTCTGAGATCGTGACCTGAGCTGAAATCAAGAGTTAGAGGCTCAACCAGCTGAGCCTCCCAGGCATCCTGGTATTCAATTTTAATGAGTACATTAACAACAAGAGACACAGTAATTCTTTTCTTTCTTCCCCCTTCCTTCCTCCTCCTTTCTTCCTTTTCTCCTCCTTCTCCTTCCTTCTCTTTCTTTCCCACCCTCCTCTTTCTCTCTTCTTCCTCCTCCTCTTCCTTCACCTTTTTCTTTTTCTGACCTATTTCTAACTGTTGAGGTTATTAGTGCCTTTGAAATAGCTTCTTGAATTATTCATGGAAGTTTTCAGAGAGGAGCTCCCCTTGAGACAGAGAAGTAAGCACCGGCCTCTGAAACTAATGATACTTCTTCATTGCTGTCACTAGTTTCCTTGTGTAGCTGGTCACAAAATCACCAGTAGAGCCCTAGTTAGACTATAAGAAAAGAGGTTTTCTAGGGCTTGAAAAAAAGGGGAAAAAAAAAACAACCTTAAAGTGAAATATAGTTTAGGAAAAAAATAAGGAGGAATGCTTTATAAGTGGGTATTTGATTAAAAAGTAGCAGGATGATTTTATTCAAACCCCACATTTTAAAGATTGCCAAAATCTCCTGTCCCTCCTGTCCTTTTGATTGCCTCCAAATACAAGCATGCCTTTGTGAATTTTTATTCCGGAGTGAAGGCTCTGTGAGAGCAAGGAGTATGTCTGCTTTTTTCACTTATATCTCTCCAGTGCCTAGCATTGTGCCTAATACTAGTAAGTGGTCAATATATATTTTGAAAATACATGACTAACAGCCAATGTGTATCCTCCATCTATTGGATGCTTACTTCGTGATAGACACTATGCTTGGCACTTCACATACAGCTTAAAACAATAATCCTCAGAGGTAAATATTATCACCCTGATTTTAACAGGGATTGTAAATTAAGGCCTAGAGTAGGTAACTGACTGTCTCAAAATATTAATATGTGAGGGCTTCCAGCTTCTGCCTTCTCCTTTGTTTTCTTTTCTTCTTTCCCTGATCTCACTATCTAAGGAGAAAAAGATAAAAGCCAAGCTCATGAATTCTTGTAGGAAAAACAAAATAGAACAGAAACCTTATCATCTTTTGGGCATTGTGTGTAAGGGTGGGGGTTGGAGGAGTCAGGGCATGCCTTGTCTTTTTGTCTGCATCACGCAGGACTGTGCGTGGGTAGAGGAGAGGGGAATTGAGAAAGCAAGATGGTGGGTGTAGGACAAAGTGGACAGGAGAGTGAAATTCGTAGGGTAGAAGAGATCTCCTGGGGAGGTAATAAGTGCTACTGTCAGCTAAGTATTGGATTCTCTTAAATGTGTGGTAGGCAAGTGTGTCAAGAATGAACTTGCTGGGAAGACAAGTGCTTCTCTCAATATGGCCATCTACCTGGTTTGACTAGAGCCTCCAGGATTTCTAGATATTTCAGTCTGCATTGTAGTAGATTGAAAGATGTCCTATGGCCACAGAATGCAGATGTGCCACTAATTCAATCAGGGCCTCCCTGGGCTCATGAGAACCCCAGGCTTTTTCTCTCATTAACTTTTCTTAGACTTATTTCTGTCCTAGTCTCAAAGGTCTTTGTACTCAATTAGCAGGCCTCAAATCTGGGTCATTGCCAGTTACCCAAGATTTGATGCCCCCTGGCCAACTAACTGGAAAAGTCACTGGACTTGAATGCTGGTTGTCTCTCTTGTCTTATAAGGCCTTAAAACAAATTAATATCCTCAAGTTCACTTTTCCTCCTTTGTAAAGTGTAAATAACATCCACCCCTACTAGTTGGTAAGGTGCTGTGAAAATGAACTGAGATTAAGATCTATATAAGAATTATAAATAAAGTCTATCCTAGCCATTTAGCTTTGAAAACTTGTCAGTCATTCATTTAACAAACACTTATAGAGCACATACCATGTAACAGGCACTGTTAAAGGTCTGGGTTGATAGCAGCAGACAAAATGGACAAAACTCCTTGCCTTAATGGAACCTGCCTTCTAGTGGCAGGAGACAACCAATAAACAAACAGAACACATAATACGTCAGAAGATGATGAATGCAATGGAGAAAACAAAGGTTGGGAAACCAGGATCGCCAATTTAAATACAACAATCAAGGGAGGCTTCCTGAGAAATTAAGTTAAGCAAGGAAGAAAGGACATGGGGATGTCTGAGGAAGAATGTTCTAGACCAGCATGAACCACTGGTGGGGGTTTGCAGAAGATCTCTTGGATTTCTTGGATTTTTTCCCAACAAGATGGGAAGCAAGGTTATTGGCCTAGAAAGGACAGGGAAGAGGTAATTCCCACCCCCTTTTTTCCTTGCCAAGTAGCCAATTAACCACTCTTATGTCACTTCCAACATTGGAATGTTCCCTGCAACCCGCCATCATTCCCCCTGCTACTATCTTAGTTGAGTTCAAATCACAATACCGTGTTTTAGTTTTTCAGCCACCAATCTCTTTCTGTTGCAGTCTGCTAACTCTTCCTAAAATACCCATGCCCAGCTCAGGTCCCTTCCTCTGCTTCCTATTGGAAAGGATAAAGGTGACTTTCTCAGCAAGGGCTTCAGGTCTCCAGAAAACCCCTCTTTGTTCAATGGGACTAGCCATGTCATCCCACTGCACCCTGAATTAGCACCCTGACTCCTGCTTCCATACTTCTCCTTGTACAAACTAGCTCTGTGACTCAAGAGAAACCACCAGACATCTCTATGCCTAATTTTCCTCATCTGTAAAATGAGGATTTAACAGTACATACCTTTTATGTTGTTTTTAGGATCTGATGAGATCATCACAATAAATTATATAAAATAGTTCTGGTATAGTATAAGTACTCAGTCAACATCAGCTCTGCTTATTCTGTCTTAAACCTCTTGCCTCCTTCTTCCTAATCAAATCTTCCCTCTCCTCTAAGACACAACTGGCATGCCCTCAGGCATGAAGTCTTTCTTGCACTTCCTTTCCTCCCTATTGCTGATCTCTCACTTCTCTCGCCCTTGTTTTGGCACATACCAGAAATGCTCTGTGAATGTGAGTTTAATACTCCAGGGTCAGAATGCTTCATCTCTCCAGCTAGACTGTGAACTCTGCAGGGCAAATGTCATGCCTCTTTGCCTCCTGTGGCCCTATTCCCTCGCAAGCTGCTGTACCATTCTCAAGGCCTCAGATTTCACAGGGGCCATTCACCTGTTCAACTTGTTGAAGAAGTAAATTCTTTTGTTATTTTATCTGTAATATCTGAAGCTTGTATTCCTTTTCTCTTGTGTGTGGTGTGTGGCTGAAAATCTGAAGCCTGGTTCCAGGGACCGCCACTTCCTCTCCAGGGACCTCGTGGCCACCCTCTGCTAACATCTCCTCTTTCCGCCCATTTTTTTCAGGACTGTTTTTAGTTCCCCTCCCTTTTATGGCCTCATCTTCCTTTCCTCTGCATCCTCCAATATTAGAAACCCATCTTTCCCTTCTCTTAAGAGAGCACTTACCCACCCAGGCTTCTTTGTTTCTTCCTTTCGTCTCTTTCCCAAGGCACCTCTGCTTTGAAGAGGCTGCTGAAAAGGAGTAGATTATTTCATCTTTTATGATCAGCAAAAGAAAAAGTAGGAGGCTTCATAAGGAAAATTGGCAAGATCTAAAGTTATTTGCATTTCATAGGAATCAAAAGTTTTCTAAGTTTTTTTTTTTTAAAGAACTTTCAAATATACCACAAAAAAATTGATCTGAACGTTGAAACACCTGCTGCAAACCTGGGGACTTTGAATTTAGCAGCTTTAGTTTGGGACCAAGAAATTCTCTGAATTAGAAAGTCTTTTGCTACTAGTTGTTGGCTTGCGGCAGCATTTCATCCCTTGGTCTGCTTCTTTGTCCTTTCAGAGTACAGCCACGCCAAAAAGCTTGTCTGTGTGCCCGTGGATGTGACAGACACTTTGAGATGTTTTAGAGAGACCCTGGAAAAATCCAGATATCACAACAGATCAATCCGACACAGCAGAAAATTGCTTTCATTATTCCTTGCACAGACACAAGGTAAACTTCTTGGCTCTATATCCTTTGCTCTTTATTTCCGGCGGGGGACGCCACCCTGTGGATCTACCATATTCTGCCTTAGGCCCTTTATTTCCCCACCGACATGCCCACTCCCTGCTGCCCTTCACTTCCTTCTTCTTGTCTGGTGGATCACATCTTCTCTCTTACACACTTCTTTCCAAAGACTGTCTCACTCATCTGCTTTCATGCTTTCTGTGAAACGAGCATACTCCCTTGAGCAGATATAAAAACAGTATTTGTTAATTTTTGATACGTTCTTACCTATCTCTTTGCAAGTATGGTACTATAGTCTTTTTAAAAAATTTTCATAAATAGATGACTTGATTCATGCTGAATTAACTAGAACCTATTACCAAAGCCTACTTTATCAGTGTCAAGGAAATAGATGCATTTTAATTTAAGCATCAATACGATTTCTTATTAACACCATAGATTTTTATCTTAAAGATTTTTTTTAGCTTAAAACAAGATATTCACTATCATTGGTTACATCACATTTATTTGTTTTCTCCCTTCTCAACATTTATTGATTTGTGAACTCAATCAAAGCAGGGCTTTGAGTGGTTAAGTGGCAATAATTTTAGGTGGGGAAAAATATTGACTTATGTATGTTTGGGTCATTAAAAATTTGTTTAAAATCCTAATATATGTTTATGATCCTTGCTATTCAAATTTATTGGAATAATAAAAATAAGCTTAAAGAATAAACTTAAAAAACTTAAAATTTTTATATTTTAAAGTTATTAAAAATAGACTTAATGTCAACCTAAGCTGCTAATATTCACTGAACTGATCTTTCAGAAATTTGCTCAAATCTTGTTTTTACAATCACTGACAGAAGTTTTATTTATGTGTGTATATATGTATGTATGTGTGTATTTGTTGTTGTTACTACCCCTGCTACTTAACCCAAAATCATACTTGCTATGCCACGTACCCACAGAGTGGTTGTATTGCCTATAGACTCACATTCTATTAAATTAGCTCTGTATGTTATGTTTAAACTTCTTTCAATTATGGCATATATTAATAATGGTTAAGGGCATGAATAAAAAAAACAAATATAATTTGGATTACATTGGTTCACCCTGAATCTCACTTGGTGTTAATGTATTTTCAGCAGTTTACCCCCAGTCCTTGGGCTGCAGACTTCAAACTCCACATTAGCTCCTCTTTCTCTGCAGCTTTTGACTACTTCCTCTAGAATAGTCTTACTTTCTTTCTTGTGTGTTCTCTGATCTTATAAAGAGAGCGATTCTTTCCCACTTTCCCCCCTTAGGTCAGAACTAACTATGTGTTGCTTCTATCTCAGAGGTCTCTGCCCCGGAGGCAGACTAACATCTTACTGTTGGAAGCCCTCAAAAAAAAGCAAACTCAAACCATGTAACTTTAAGCAATCCCCACGAGAAGCAAAGCATTATCTCAACAGCACTTTCTGGCACAGTGCCCCTCTGTAGTGTTTTTTTTATGAAATAACAGGTAGAGAGCCCATCCACACATACCTGAGCTCCTCAGAAATGATGTTAGATACTGAATTTAAGGAAACAGTGTCCCTCAAACTGCAAAGAAATCTCAGCTATACACCGAATTTTTCTTTTTTTCCTCCCTGTTGATTTCATCTACGTTTTTCCCTCCTTGTCATCTTCCTCTCTGTCTCCTTTTAAAATTTCTTTTTGGGGGTGCCTCAGCATCTCATTTGGTTAAGCATCCAACTGATGATTTTTGGCTCAGGTCATGATCTCAGGGTTGGGAAATAGAGCCCTGTGTCGGGCTCCACATCTGTCGTGGAACCTGCTCAAGATTCTCTCCCTTCCTTTGCCCTCCCCCACACCTGCTTGCTCTCGTGCTCTCTCTCTCTCTAAAAAAAGTAAATAAATTTCTTTTTTCCCTATGAATTTAGGAGATAAAGGAGGAATAAACAATTTGAAATTTACTACTGGAAAGGTGGAATTTTGCCTGGGGACAGAAGAGATGCATATGCCAACACCCCCCAACCTCTCTCAGGAGCACTTCAGAGTTTTCAGTTCAGTGGAGAAAAGTAAACTTCCCTCTTCGCAACTGGGACTCGTAATTTCCTCTTATTATGAAACTATTGGTAAGAGTCGTTCATTATATATTCATTTTCAGGAGGATCTTGCACAAAATGTTTCAATTGCCTTTGGGCCTGAAATGCCACCTTGAAAAATCAGACGAAAGAGCTTGAAGATAGAATCTTGTAGGCAGTGCCAGAGCAGTGTTGGGACAAGAGGCATCCAGCCCCTCCCATTCTCCACTTTCCCAGCCTGGGCTGTCAGCATGGCAAGGTTCTAGGCCCCTCTTCTGCTTATCCTCCTTTGAATGAATCTGTGAACCCCTTGTTGGAATGTGGCCACTGTTGTGTTCTTTTGCTCTGCCCTAGCTGATCCCACTTTCCTTGTCTTTCTGTTTGATTTGGCTTTTCTCCAAATTCAGCAGTATATATTCAATCCATGTTGTAGACCCTACATCCCCCTTTTTTATTTTTATTTTTTAATTTATTTTTTTAAAGATTTTATTTATTTATTTGAGAGAGAGAGTGAGCCCAAGCAGGGGGAACAGCAGGCAGAGGGTGAGGGAGAAGCAGGCTCCCTGCTGAGCAAGGAGCTCAGTGTGGGACTCAGTCCTAGGATCCTGGGATCATGACCTGAGTTGAAGGCAGCCACTCAGCTGACTGAGCCACCCAGGTGCCCATCCCCTCCTTTTTTTTTTGTAGTAACAGACATTTAATAATTCCCCCCTTTACTCCCTGAAACAAAATGCATATTTAATATAGTCTCTCTATACACATTATTTAATCAATAAATATAAAATAAATAAATATTTAATGCAATAAATACAATTTAATACCCTAAATATAAAATAAAGGCTAAATAATATTATTTTATAACAAAACAATCTATTTGTGGCACTTAAGAGTTCAGGTACTGGAAAGTCTAGTGAAGCAATCAGATGCTCATATCCTGTGTGCTGAATCACCGTGAATGTTATAGCTACAAATACAGACTGAAACAGCTTTATTGTATTGGTGATGCAAGTACTATCAGCACTGCTAATTTTCGTGACAGTGTTTTTCTAAAATGGTAAATCTAGATGCAGTACACAATAAAACACTACAGCGAATGGTCGCATTTCTGGAAAATTGAGAGAATTTTAAAAACATGCAAAAATGCCCTATTTATATGTAAAATGAAGTTAGAGGTTAGACTCAGACAATTATAAACTAGTTTCTCACCTTTCTCTTCACTGTGGAGGAAGCTTCTGTGTGTTACAGGCCATCCAGTATCTCTGGTCTTCACTGACAAAATGCCAGGAGATGCACCGTTGTGACACCTAACAAAAGCTTCCTTAATTTTCTAAAATACCCTACAGGAGTCAGGACTGCCCTCATTATAAACCACTGCCGTGGGGCACCTGGGTGGCTCAGTGGGTTGGGCCTCTGCCTTCAGCTTAGGTCATGATCTCAGGGTCCTGGGATCGAGCCCGCATCGGGCTCTCTGCTCAGCACGGAGCCGCTTCCCCCTCTCTCTCTGCCTGCCTCTCTGCCTACTTGTGATCTCTCTCTCTCTGTCAAATAAATAAATAAAATCTTAAAAAAAAATAAACCACTGCCTTGTTGGTTAGTTTTGTTTTGTTTTGTTTTTTTTCTAGACATCTCTGAATTTATACATTTATCAGAAAACAAAAAAAAAAAAAAAAGTTCGGATGCTATTAAAGATGTGCTTTTTTTGCATTTGGGTAAAGGAAAAATCTGATAAGCTGTGATCTTGTCCCATCCCTGCTTAAATACAAATACTTCGAGGCTTCCCATCTGCTATAGAATAGCGTCCACATTTCTCCACCAGGCATTCAGATGCCTCCATAAGCCTACCACTCTCTCCTTCTTCACAGTCCAAAGAAAACCATAAAAAAAAACCGAAACCCACGTTATGTCCATATACACCTCAACTGTTCTCCCTAGCATGGCTTTTCTGAATTTCTCTTTGACACCACTTCCCCCTGCCCAACTCTTACTCCACTCTCTCCACATTTCCTCTCTCTCAGATCCAATCTCTTCTTCCACTATGTTCAGGTAGAGTATCATTTGCTCTCTTTCTGCATATGTATCAGGAGACCTGGGAAGACAGTGTTAGCTTGCAGTTTGCTTATCTACAAAATTAAGAAATAAATGCAGTTTAAATAGTCTTGAGAGAATGAGGAAGATACTTTCTAGGAACTGACATTTGTTCTTCTACTTGATTAAAATACAGATGTTCTCCAAGTCAGCCATCAAAGAAGTCTTAAAGTTCAGGCATTGCATGAACTCGGAAGCCTTCTCGTCTTTGCGGAAAAGAAAAGGTAGATTTTTAGGAGTCAGTGGAAAAAGGGCAAACTTTTTTTGGTTGTTTGTTGGAAAGCATTTTTAAGTATTATGAAAAAGTTGTCTTTCATAAATTTTAGTTCTTCAATAATATTCCATTGCTACATTTTATTCACCAAATGCTACCCGAGAGAAACAGTTATGAGAAGTAAATAGTATAGATTGATTCTCTAATATTTTAATTAAAATATTTCTTCAGTGCATTTTCATCCCCTTTTGGAAGATAGATTTAATAACATGGACTATGGAAAACATGCTGCTTGATGCTCTGTTTCTCTTTTAGGGCTGCTTTTAAATGTTGGTGTCAAGCTCTTGATGACATATTCAAAAAAGAAGACGTGCTATATACATGGAAAGAGTTTGGTACCTCACTCACCAATTCATCTCCAGGTTCCAAAGATTATAGTGAGGAATTTCTGTCAAGAGTTGGCATTTGGGGATGTTTGCAAGGAGCAGTCATATCAGCAAAGATAGCACAGTGAGTGTGGCAATGGAGTGAGCTTCCTTTGGTGGGGGCCCACTGTGCCATGTGGAGCACCATGCCTCAGATGCATGGGATTCTTGGACAGCTTTGTCCATATCATAAAAAACTATCCAGTTTACTTATTTGTGATGTTTGTTATCCATGGCCATCTCCTCTCCCCATACCCCTGGAATGTGGGCCTCACATGGGCACAGATCTTTGCTTGTTCACTAGTGTATCCTGAGTGTCTGGCATGGAGTTGGCATTTGATTACTACTTGTGGAATGAATGAATGAGTGAGTGAACAGTTGGTATGAAATCAAGAATAACGGTGTGGAGGCAGGCCAACTTGGATCTAATGCAAGGATCTCCTACTAACTCTGGGACCCTTGGCTCACTGCTCATTCTCTCCGAGCCTCAGTGTTCTCATCTGTAAACTGTAAATCTTGGTGGCAAGAATTACATGACATACTATATTAGTTTGCTAGAGTTGCCATAACAAATGACCAGTTTGTAGGGAATTTATTGTCTCACAGTTTTGGAGGCTTAAATTCTTAGATCAGGGTGTCGGCAGGTTTGGTTTCTATTGAGGCCTCTTGGCTTGTAGATGGCTGTCTTCTTGCCATGTCCTTACATGGTCTTCCCTCTATATGTGCTTATGCCCTAATGTCTTCTTACAAGGATGTCAGTCATATCGGATTAGGGCCCAGCCTAGTAACCTCATTATAATGTAATAACCTCTTTACAGGCCCTATCTTAGTCACATTCTGACATTATTGGGGGTTAGGACCCCAACATATGAATTTGGAAAAGGGGGGGGAAATAATTTAGGTCATAATGCATGCTGATTAGTTTACTAGTTCTGTAACAAATTACCACAAAATTCATGGCTTAAAACAACATGGATTTATTCTTTTACAGTTTTGGGGGTCAGAAGTCCTAAAATCAGTGCTTGGCACGGTTGTGCTGTCCTCTGAAGGCTCTAAGAAAGAATCTTCTTCCTGGTCTTTTCCAACTTCTGGAGGTCTCCTGCATTCCTCAGCTCATGGCTCCGTGTTCTGTCTTTGGGATCAACAGCCCGTTTTCTTCCTCTTTCTCTCTCCCTGACCCCTGCTTCTGTGTTCATCTCTCCTTCTCTTACTGACTCCCTTGCCTTTCTCTCATAAGGACCATTGTGATTACATTGAACCTAACCTTAATTTTAATCACATCTGAAGTCTTTTTTTTTTTTTTTTTTTTTGCCATGTAAAGCAACATATTCAAAGATTTGGTGTATTAGGATAGGGGTATCTTTGTGGTGGGGGTTGGGAGCATTATTCAGCCTACCACACTTAACATATGTGAAAGTCTGTCATAGTGTCTTTTTTTTTCTTCTTTTAAACTTACTGTTTTTTTTTTTTAAGAATTATTTTTTGAAAATTCTTTAAAATTTAAAATTAATTAATTAATATATAATGTATTATTAGTTTCAGAGGTAGAGGTCAGTGATTCATCCATCTTATATAATACCCAGGGCTCATTACATTAATACCCTCCTTAATGTCCATCACCCAGTTACCCCATTCCCTTCCCTCCTCCCCTCCCAGCAACCCTCAGTTTGTTTCCTATGATTAAGAGTCTCTTATGGTTTGTTTCCCTCTCTGATTTCATCTTGTTTTATTTTCCCTTCTCTTCCCCTATGATCCTCTGTTCTGTTTCTTAAATTTCACATATGAGTGAGATCATATGATAATTGTCTTTCTCTGATTGATGTATTTAGCTTAGCATAATACCCTCTAGTTCCATCCACATTGTTGCAAATGGCAAGATTTCTTTTTTCTGATGGCTGAGTAGTATTCCTGTGTGTGTGTGTGTGTGTGTGTGTGTGTGTGTGTGTATGTGTGAGTGTGTGTGTGTGTACTACTCTTCTTTATCCATTTATCTGTTGATTGACATCTCAGCTCTTTCCATACTTTGGCTATTGTGGATATTGTTACTATAAACATTGAGGTGCAGGTGCCCCTTTGGATCACTACATTTGTATCTTTGGAGTAAATACCTAGTAGTGCAATAGCTGGGTCTTAGGGTAGCTCTGTTTTTAAGTTTTTGAGGAACTTCTGTACTGTTTTCCAGAGTGGCATTCCAGCTTGCATTCCCACCAACAGTATAAGAGGGTTCCCCTTTCTCCACATCCTTGGCAACATCTATCATTTCCTGACTTGTTAATTTTAGCCATTCTGATCGATGTGAGGTGGTATCTCATTGTGGTTTTTATCTGTATTTTCCTGATGCCAAGTGACATGGAGCATTTTTTCATGTATCTGTTGGCTATTTGTATGTCTTCTTTGCAGAAATGTCTGTTCCTGTCTTATTCCCAGTTCTTGATTGAATTATTTGTTCTTTGGATGTTGAGTTTGATAAGTTTTTTTTTATAGATTTTGGGTACTAGCTCTTTATCCGATAAAACATTTGCCAGTATCTTCTCCCATTCTGTCCATTGTCTTTTAGTTTTATCTTTCCTTTGCTGTGCGGAAGCTTTTTATCTTGATGAAGTACCAGTAGTTCATTTTTGCCTTTGTTTCTCTTGCCTTTGGAGATGTATCTAGCAAGAGGTTGCTGTGGCTGAGGTCACAGAGGTTGATGCCTGTGTTCTCCTCTAGGATTTTAATGGATTCTTATCACACAGTGAGGTCTCTCATCCATTTTTAGTCTATTTTTGTGTATTGTATAGCAATACAAGCCTTTCTCAAGAAACAAGGAGGTCTCAATGATACAACCTAACTTTACACCAAGGGAGCTGGCAAATGAACAGCAAATAAAACCTAAACCCAGCAATATAAGAGTATTAATAAAGATTTGAGCAGAAATCAATGAAATAGAAACCAAAAGAGCAGTAGAACATATCAACGAAACTAGGAATTTGTTCTTTGAAAGAATTAGTAAGATCGATAAACTCCTGGCCAGACTTATCAAAAAGAAAAGAGAAAGGACCCAAATAAATAAAAACATGAATGAAAGAGGAGAGATTACAACCAATACTGAAGAAAACAGACCCATAATCAGCAATAAAATTGAAGCAGTAATCAAAAATTCCCATCAAACAAGAGTCCAGGGCCAGATGACTTCCAGGGGAATTCTAACAAACATTTAATTAGCACTAATTGTGCCTCGGGTAAACCTCATTGGCTACAGTACTGCCACTGCACCAAGCTTCTGCCAAATATTTAAAGAAGAACTAATACCTATTCTTCTGAAGCTTTTTCAAAAAATAGAAGTGGAAGGAGAACTTCCAACTCATTCTATGAGGCTGGAATTACCTTGATTCCAAAACCAGATGAAGAACCCACCTGAAGGAGAGTTCTAGACCAATATTCCTAATGAAAATGGATGCCAAAATTCTCACCAGGATACTAGCCAATAGAATCCAACAATACATTAAAAAGATTACTCACCATGACCAAGTACGATTTATTCCTGGGCTGCTAGGGTGGTTCAACATCTGCAGATCAATCAACATGATACATCACATTAATAAAAGAAAGAATAAGAATAATATGATCCTCTCAATGCAGAAAAAGCACTTGACAAAATATAGCATCCTTTCTTGATTAAAACTCTTCACAGTGTAGGGATAGAGGGAACATACCTCAATAAAAGACATATCATAAAAGCCATGTATGAAAAGTCGATAGCAAATTATCATTCTCATTGGGGAAAGCTGAGAGCTTTTCCCCTAAGGTCAGGAACACAAGAGCGATGCCCATTCTTGCTAGTTTTGTTCAGCATAGTACTAGAAGTCCTAGCCTCAGCAGTCAGGCAGCAAAAAGAAATAAAAAGCATTCAAATTGGCAAGGAAGTCAAACTCTCACTCTTTACAGATGAAATGATACTTCATGTGGAAAATCCCAAAGACTCCACCCCAAATTACTAGAACTCATACAGGAATTCAGCAAGGTGGCAAGATATAAAATCAATGCCCAGAAATCGGTTTCATTTCTATACACTAAAAACGAGACAGAAAGAGAAATTAAAGAGTTAGGCCTATTTACAATTGCGCCAAAAACCATAAGATACCTAGGAATAAACCAAACGACAGATGTGTACTCAGAAAACTATAGAATACTCATGAAAGAAATTCAGGAAGACACAAAGAAATGGAAAAAAACATTCCATGCTGATGGATTGGAAGAACAAATATTGTTAAAATGTCTATGCTTCCTAGAGCAGTCTATACATTCACTGCAATCACTGTCAAAATATCATCAACTTTTTTCACAGAGCTGGAACAAATAATCCTAAAATTTATATGGAACCAGAAGAGACCCGGAATAGCCAAAGGAATGTTGGAAAAGAAAACCAAAGTTGGGAACATCACAATTCCGGACTTCAAGCTCTATTAGAAAGCTATTGTCAGCAAGAAAATATGGCACAAAAACAGACACATAGATCAATGTCACAGTGTCTTATACCTAGTTAGCACTGACAGATATTTTAGAGATTTGAATAATGTGAGAAATTTAAGAATTGTGGAAGGAGTAGAGGTACAGGTTCTTTCACCTTTCTAGGTACAATTTTAGCTTATCTATAGGGTGTGGTGGGCAAAAACATGCATAGCATCTTGATCTATAGAGAAATTTAAAAAATTTCTATATATGGAAAGTAATCCAGAAGGAAATTGACCAAAATGTTACCAGTAATCATGTTTAGGTGGTACTTATTGGTGATATTTCATTTTGTTTTTTATGTTTTTTTTCCCATGTTCTGGATCTTCCATAAATGTGTAACTTTTTTAGAATCACAAAGTCTATTTTAATTTTGCAAAATCTGTGAGTATTAGAGATTAGTTGTATAAAAGTATTATTGGAAAATTGTCTATGAATCCATTTCTTTTTGTTATACTTATTTAGATTTATTATGATCTCGGAGGTTGACAAGAGAACCAACTGTTGCATTTTGTCTGCATTACTCTTTCAGGTAACACTTTATATCTTCTGACTAGTGACCATTTGGTCCAAAAAAAAGAAAGTGCAGTGGCTTATCATAGTCAAAAAACTCACAGGTAGGAAGATAGCACGGACCTTGATGAGGTATCACGAATCCATCTTTCCTTCCCTAGCTGAAGGTAGCATTTTCACCTTGAATATTCAGCAGAATTTTTCTCCTTCAGACTCTGGAAGGAATTTTGCAGATCAGGAAACTGAGTCTCATCGTTAGTAAGACTGTGTTGCTAATGAGCTGTGAAGCCAGTCTGTTTGACTCCAAATGGTGGCCTTAGGTTACCTCATCTCTATAAATAAAGTTTTGCTCGACTGTACAATGTGAAGTATACCATATAATGAAAGCAAGAAATAAGCTGAAGACTACAAAAGTAGAGTGTTGGCAGCTCCTAGAATTTTGTTTTGACTTCATTGAAGAAGAAAAGAGCTTTAATCTGAAATACAAGACACTTTGAGATACAGGGATGTAGCCAGGGGCCTTTGCAATGTACTAAAGGTTCTGTTTACCTTGAAGGGTGGCCACCCGTGTTCTGTGTATCAGAGGCATCTGATAGCTTATGAAATCTAGATAGAAAAGCTCTCTGGAAAGCCTTTTCTGAATGTAAGGCCACACTTTTCAGTTTTCTTATGTTTCATGCACCTCTTGCCTGTGCTTTAAAGAGAGGAGGTAGAAGAGGTAAGAGTGCAAAGGGAATGATAATCGGATATTGACTCCCTATATTGCATTCTTGACTGTCTGATACTGCTTGTTCTTGAAGATAATGCTATTGTTTTTTAAAAAAAGCAATTTAAAAAATTAAATTTTTGCTTACTATGGGCATAATTTTTTAGTACTAATTGTACTTAAAAGCTGGTAGGATTTATTTTTTAAATCTTAATTTTTTTATGATTTTAAAACAGATTTGTAAAATTAAAAATGTAAACAACTGCATAGTATTTTAGAGCAGGTACAACTGCATAGTATTTTAGAGCAGGTGCCTAGTCATATTCATAATGAGGAATCTGATTAAAATTATTTTCTGATATTTACATTAAATAATTTCATAATGCATGTCATCAGTTAATGTTAATTATTTAGGATAACATCAGAAACACTCCTAAATATAAAATTTGATTTTGTGTATCAATTTTGTTTCCCAACATTGAATACAGTGTTGGTCATATAAATTACCTAAGAAATATTGGCAAAATTAAACAACTCATCTTTTTACTTAATTCAGTTAAAAATTCAGAATTAACTCTGCTGGATTTAGACTTCTGAAATCATTTGTTATCCTATACGTATAGGTTGGTAGAGTGGGAAGAGAATAGATTTTTTTTAAATTTAAATATATGTGACTTTGAATCTTCTTTCTTCCACCATTAGCTGTGTCACCTTATATAAATTAATTGTGTAAGCCTCAATTATATCATTTGTGAGGTAATAATCCTTCCTCCTAGAGGTAGGTTAAATGAGGATTAAATAAGGTAGTATTTATAAAGAATTTACCAGTAGTGTCCAACACAAAATTAACCCCAACAAATGATAATATAATGATTATTTTTTCTGAAGATAGTAAATATCCAACTACCATGGAATTTAAAAGGCCCATCTTGAGTGATGGAAGCATTTGGAACTGTAATGATGATAATATTAATGATAAGTACCATTTATTCAAGGCACAGTGTGCCAGGCATATGCTAAGCACTTCAGGAAGTAATACATATACTTATTGTTTTGTGTCAGTGTTGCAAATGCAATTTATAGCTTTTCATTTCACCTGTTTTCATTTTCAGGGTTTGCTTAGAACCACACTTCCACATCCCAAAGCTGAACGTTGCTACGCTCAGTATGAAATCACTCAGCTTCTCCCAGGCATCGAGCTCTTCTCAGACAGATACAGGGCTGACATTTGCTCTGTAGTCGCAAGTCTGTATTACATTATACGTGAACTGCAATATGCTAAGCAAAATCTTACAGTAAGTCATTTGTAAAATCAACAAATCTTAATTCACTGCGGTATTTTTGCCTTCTACCTTAAACCTTTCAAATTTTGTTAATGTCCTCTGGGTTGGTCTTGTGTTACTCTTAAATTCCAGACTCAGGATTCTTACTTGCACTGCAAAATAAAATATATTAATTAATATTTCTTCTTTGACATCATTATTTGCACTGCATTTTGGGTACAAAGTCAATGTCCATTTGATTTTGTTCCCTTTTTACTCTATTACTTTATTATTTTTCCTCCTTCTTAAGACAGTTGGGAAGATTGATTAGAATATTTCACTGGTCTCAAACAGAGGAATCTAGTGCACATGTAACTCACTGTACTAAGTCATGCAGGTCATATCAGTACACAAACTATGAGAATATTTCTTTGTTGAGATAAATTCCTTTGTGTCTCTTGTCTTCTCCCTGTTCTAAGTGAACAACAGATTCAAACTGTGACATAAAAGGCAAATACTTCTTAATATCCGAGGACATTCTAAACCTCATGCAGTTCTCTTCCTTTGGGGAAATAAATCACAGTATATGTCATAAATTTGAAGTTGGTTGCATTTAAAAAATAAACCAGTATGCTCTATCTGTTGATCATTTTATATTTTTCTCCTTTATTTTATTTTTCCTATTTTCTTCCTATATGCTATTTCTTCTACATTTATATCTCTCCCCAACTATGTTTGCTTCTTAATACCTAAACTTTCTTTTTTTAGTTCTTTCCTTTTCTTCTATCATTTTCATGCCTACTTTCTTTTTTCCCCTCATACATTGTTTATTTTCTATTCTCTTGTCCTAAATTCACTCTCTCTCCTTATATTGAAAAGATTTATTGTCCCTTGATATGTGTTGTTAAATTATAAAGCCATGTGTTAAAGTGAAGAGATTGATAAATGCTGTTAACACTTGGCATATTTGGCAAGAAATTGTTTATTAGGAAAAAGATAACAAAATGGTACTCCTTTCATTGTTAAGGGGATTCATTTCTGGATTTAGAAAATAGTTCTATCCCCTGGGTAACCTTTAGCTGCCTAGTCATATTCATATATAATACATATCACTGCACTGGAAAAGAAATGAGACTTTTTTCTCTGAAGCTTAAGAAATTGAGAACATTTTTCTGAATAATTGAGCAATTGGTAGCAATAAAGTGGTGTGTTTTTATTTCTCACTAAAGAAATGAAACAATCTCAAAGGTAATAGCCAACTCTTATTGTTTTGTGCTGCATTAATTGTAGAAAAAGATATTGTGTTATGTTTGTAGTGCATAATTGTAGAAAAATGTATTATGTTTGAAATCACTTAAGACCAGTTCTAAACCATTTAAAAAGCTGTTGCTATCAGCAGCTGCCAGTTGACTGACAATTAGAGGTTCCTTAGCTGAACTTGCAAGATGTAAACAGTTTCTATTTTGTATTACACCACCCTCTGGAAGAAGTCCAGTGGGTAAGGAGTCTGCTGTCACATACAGATCTTGGTAGGAGATCCACTGCTGTGGGATCATGGGAAATAGTTTGCTAAATAATGGGAAATCCCAATATTCCTCCTTGCTCTATCTCCCTTTAGCAAACAAGGGCCGAGTTGTAGGAAAAAAGCTTGGGTTTTCAGTTGAGATCAGTAGCTGTTCAGAAGTCTAGGCAAACAGCTATCCATCCCCTCAACACCTAACTCCGGTCAGATAGTGTGGTTGGATCAACTGAAATATGGGTAGTTTGTAAGCTCTCACCCATATCCGTGAGATTTCAAGAGGAGTTGAACTTTGGGGTTAATTCTAAGAAAATAAAAATATTATGTGAAGAGTAAGCTTGGGTAATCAATAGAATATATGCTCTGTGAAAGCAAGATTGTTAGACTTTGTTGTCATTCAGCATAATGGGCACGCTATAAATATTCTTGCTGATAGAGATACTCCAGTTGAAGACAAATAGCAGCTTCCATTGAGATGAGTGAGCAGGTGACACGGATGGCAGTTGCTTTGCTTTAAATTTTGCAGTTATTTGATAGCTCATTTGCTAGAATGTTTCTATAAGCCTCGATGATTCATACATATATGTTAATTTTTTTCAAAGAAGATTATTGATTGGATTTCCACTTTTCCACGCTTAAAGAGATTTGAAACCTAGGTTTTAGACGCCAGGTGGCATCTACAAGTTGCCCTGGTGCTACTTTCAAGTTCTTACAGAATTATGGAGTATATTATAGGCAGATCATTTCACTTAGCCAAATAGTATAGTCTCTAACCATGGCAAATTTAACTGCTGTTTTATATAACATCCCCCCACATTAATATTTGGCTACATTTTACTATTAGGTTATTAACTTGATAAAACATGTTTTAGATTTTTAAAAAAATGTTGGTTTTTTTTTTGTTTTTTTTTTTACCATTGGTAGGTTCTGCCTCTACTTGCACTGTACCAATATTTTGTTTCTGGAATTTGCCAAGATCTGGTCAGAAATCTAGAAGCTAGGATCCTCAAGGTATGTGACAAACTTGTAAGATGTTTGATATTCCTGGACTGTAAAGATACTGTCATAAGTTAATTTGGTTCTAATACTCATAATAACAAGCTTATAATATATGGTATGCTGATATTTTTAAAAATGCCCATTATTATAATAACATATGAGAGTGAGCTGGCTCATTTTTTGCTTGGGCTACACGTGGGAACAGCTACATGTGGGAACAAGGCTCGTCCAACATCAGTCAGCCTGGAAATCACCACTTCTAGAGTATTGATTTCCTGGTAGAACTAATGAGTCTGTTTTCTGAAGTTTCTGTGAACTTTTTGCTAAGGATCTTTATGTATATCATAATATGTGAGAAGTTTTCATTGTACAGACAGTTGAAGTGACAAAACACACAGATGCTGGATTACAACTAATTCTGTAACCTAGAAGTCAGGATAGGCTCTCTGCCTTCAAGATCCTTGTGCAGTTGACTTGAGCCCCATGTGGACTGGGAACCTTGAGCCCCTCATTTTCTGTGCCCTTTTCCTAGTTAGCCAAGGTCACGGTCTTTCACTCTGTTGAATTCATTTTGCACATGGATCATCTCAACATTGAGCAGATTTTCTCCCTGTTCTGCACCTCCTCATCTTGAATATGGAATTCAGTCCTAATCCACATTCTATACACACACACACATACACACACACACACACACACACACAAACTCTCATGCTCACTCACGTACACATAAACATACACAACACATTCACCCAAGGCTTTTATTTTTATACTGGATTTAGTGAAAATTTGGATCACAGGAAAATATAAGTTGAGGCAAAGCAAACAATTTAAAATAGAATATTTGGCATCTCTGGGTTTAAAATATTTCTCAGCCAACATCTCATGCTTTTGCCTCCCATCCCATGGTTTAATCAGCTGTGTGCTGGTAAGTGTTTCACACATCACTCTAAAAAAAAAACCCCTGATTTGTAGCACTTTCAGTTTCCATGGTGCAAATATTCCCGCTATAGCTGACTTCAGCCTACCAACCAGGCATTACTGAATGTGGAATCGGGACAAGATACGTGCAGTCTCCTCTTGCAAATTGGGAGGAAGAGGCTCCATTGCATCACTGGCTTAACCCTCCTTATCCTTTTTTTGGAAATACCTTATACACTTCTCCCCCAAATCTTTCCTATTTTCTTATGAGGGGAAATTAGACTTCCCTTTGAATTCTTCTCTCTACCTGGACCCTGCCCTTGGGCCTATGATTTCAGGACCAAAGAGTTCATAACATTCTATTTCTAAATAAATACAGTACTTTCCCTAGGAGGAATTCTGATGCTAACTATTAAGAGGATATATTTTAACTCAGGAATAAATAATTATCAGCTGTGAAAATGTCTGGATCACTCTTTCTGACTTACTGAACTCTTAAGAGTTTTCCTGCTTTTGATTTCCAATAACACCTTTTGAAAAGCTGCATATAACTTTTTTCTCTCTATTTTAAAAACAGTGCTCTGTTCAAGATTGCAAAATTCCTGAGGTTAGGGCCTGATTTTTTTTTTTTTTTTAAAGATTTTATTTAATTATTTGTCAGAGAGAGAGGGAGAGAGAGCAAGCACAGGCAGACAGAATGGCAGGCAGAGGCAGAGGGAGAAGCAGGCTCCCTGATGAGCAAGGAGCCTGATGTGGGACTCAATCCCAGGACGCTGGGATCATGACCTGAGCTGAAGGCAGCTGCTTAACCAACTGAGCCACCCAGGCGTCCCAGGGCCTGATTTTTTTTTTTTTCATCTTTTATTTCCCTATCGTATACTGAGTAATAAATTCATATATCAATACTCAGTCATTAATTATTGAATTGAATTTTAAACCTATAGACATTTATCAGTGCCTACTGTCCACACTTTCCTTAGTCTTTAGTGGGAACTAACCTAAAAGATAACTTCGTAGACATTTATTGCTTTACCTCTAAAACAACATTTGTTGAGTATCTCCTATGTAAAAGCACCATGTTCGTAACTCTGATCAAAGAAATGTAACCCATGGTCGTTGCTTATAAGGAAGTAAAAATAAGGGAAAAGAGACAGGGCATATACACAAGACAATAACATAGGCATCTGCCCCTTGATCATTTCCAAATGAGTATGATGAGCACTGTCTCCTGGAGTTTGAAAAAGGGAAAGTGGCTTTGGATCTCTTGGTTTTACTAAGTAGGTAAGATTTGGTGAAGAAAGAAAGAACTGAGCAGGAGAGAGGAAGAAGGGAACATTCTTGGCAGGTAATAGTGTGAAGCATATAGAGATGAGACAGTATGGACTTGTTGGGGCTGGGGGCAGGGGTGGTTCTGTGAAGCCAGAGAAGGAGGAGGTTTTGAGGAGGGAGAATGTAATAGGAGAATACCAGAGATCCGTGTTGTGGTCCACGATGTCCATGAGCAGTGGGGCCCAGTCCTGAATTCCAAACTAAGGCATAATGAGGAGGCTGAGCAGTGAGAGAAATGAGGAGATTATGGAATCAGAATTGGGTAGCCATATTATTCTGGTCTATCATTTAGAGGCAGGAGAAGCATGGAAGTGTTGCAGTGACCATTAGTAACATGTCAGAAGGGGATCCAGAGAGGCACTGAAAGATATAATCTGAAACAAAGTTTTTGTTTAAATGACTGTGTTTTATTGGATTGTTAACATTTGGCAACTTTCTGTACTAAAGTAGCTTAGAAGCCAGTGAAGAACTGTGGACTCTAGTCGGCAGCCTTGGGTTGAGAGGTGGGATGAATTGCAGAATCTTGGTCAGAAGAAGGACATGATCAGATGTATCTTGGCAACAGTGTCAGGAGCAGAGTGAGTCAGCAGTGGAATCTTATTGGCAATAGCAGAACAGAAACACCTGACCAGGGTTTTGACAGAAACAATGAAAAAGGGCAACTGATGCATCACCCAGAGGAAGAAATGACAGCCTGTTTGAGCAGAGTTTGCCTGACCTTTCTGAAGTAAACTGGGGTCAGTGGGTGGGAAGAGAGAAAAGTCATAGTCGGGAAACAGCAAACAATGCTCTCTGACAAGCCAAACCGCAATAGATCATGCTGTTAAGTTTCTGTTGGGCACTAGTGTCTTTCAGGGAAAGCTTTAAGACCTCTTTACGATCAGCCAGTCCAGCTTCACTTTAGAACTGCCAACGTCTTGAAAGATTTATTAGTCTCAACATATCCGGCATTCCTGGGAAGGGTACCGATGGTTCTGTATTTGTGCAAGCGAAAGGTTGATTTAAGGGTAGTTCTTTTTTCCATCTGGCTTGTTTATGTTCACGCTGTTGGTCATTTCTGAAAATACATGTTCATTGTTATCACCACTGCTTTTACAAATGGCCACATTAGTATGATAAACCGACCCAGAGGTAGCCTTAGAGGTTACAGGTAGTTTGTGCACAGGCGTCTCACCACCAAGATCAGTGGAGATAAACCTCATTATCTCCTACATGGGATAATGAGAAAATGTTCATCTAGAAGTCTAAAAGAGCTCCTATGACTGACTCCTAATGCCTGCTTGGGTATTATATGGCCCAAGGGAAGTTAGAGCCCAAGGTATTTTAGGCAAGAACCAAAGTGTGCAACTCAGTAGACAGTTTTCCCTTCTGCAGTGAAAATATTCTCTTAACCTTTTATGCTTTATTTTCATACTATTGTCATATCCTATTTCCCCCTAATTTACTAAGCTTATTTTTATTTCTTTAAAGTTTAGATACTCATGAGATTCCTATGGTAGTGCTTAAAGGAAAAGAGATACTAAGTGTATGGGTATGTGTGTATGTGTGAAGATCATATATATATGATCTTTGTCCATTTTGTATTTTATTTCCTGTTTGTACAATTTGCCTTTCTCTATTCTCAAAAGTCACTGGAGTTTTCAAAACGTAAGTCAGGTTAGGGACCTGCCTTGTTCAAAACTCTCCAATAACTTCTTATCACACAGAGACTAAAATTCCAAGTTCTCAGTCTAGTCTACAGGCCACCATTCATACCTGTCTCCTAACCCTCTTCCCCCAATCTCCCTATACTCCTGCCACACAGGCTCTTCCTTGAGCACCCCAAGACACCCCGGCTGCTCCTGCTGCTGCATGACATTTACTTGAGATGGCTCAGCAGATTTTCACATGTCTCTCTTTCATGTCATTTCCCAATTTTCTCTGGAATGTCTTCTTCAGAGAAGTCCTTCTTGACTGGAGCTCTGAAAGTAGCATTTTTGTCAGTACCCTTTATCCCTTATAATACTGTGTATATCTTCGTGTATCACTTAAATTAGCTCAATACAGATTGGGAAGGGATGTAACATCCAAGAGGGCTTGTGCATAGGAAGTGTCCAATAAACACATTGAATGAATGAATGACTTTTGTTCAGGAACTTTTCTTCCCATAATTTCCTGATTGAAAGTTCTGCTGGGTAATATTCAAATAACCCATGTACAATTTATAGTTATCAACTGATTAACTTTAAGGATATGTCTTTAAAACTGACAGAGCGCATTAATTATGGATGACAAAATGAATAGTTGTCTCTATGTTGATACATCACAGAGTTCATCTCCTGGTTTGACTTTCCTCAGAGTATTAGAGAACATCAGGAGTATTTTTGTTTTGTTTTTCTTCTAAACCATAGTTCACCATGGGTACAAAAAATAAATTCAATCATTTTTTTAACTCTTCAATGCCTGTCATGTTTTTGTGTTTGCTCTGATGAAGTAAGCCACATTTGACAAATGTCCGTTGTTACGAACAGTTGCCTGCTGTTGTTCATTAGCTTCTTGGTCTGTTGCACATGTAAACTGGCTTACATACAAACACATACATCTCCATCTACTGTGTTTACCAAGCATTAATTTATAAGGCATTACCAATTATGTTAAGCAGAAATTTTGGACCTCAGAAAGCTGATGATTTTTCTCTAAAATTGTTATTTTGTAAGTAAAATGGATTATTTAATTTTAAAATCTCATTTTTTTCCTTTCCTTTAAAGATTCAGGTTCTTACAGATTTAGGATTTTTTTCTGAAGCCTTTTATGAGATATCCCAGATTTTTTATGGAAAAAATATGCCTTCCTCGGTACCCTCTGGCTGTAAGGCTCCTGGAAAAGTAAAGGTAAATCTGCTGCTCTGATTCAAAGCCATTTCTTTACTTTTTGAAGGCAACATTACTCAGATTTAGGGAATGCTTCCACAAAAGTGTATTTATAAGTCTCTGGTGCTGCAGACTTCTTTGTTAAGCCTGGTTGTTAGCTAACAGTAGGCTCTTACAAGGTTTCATTCGTTTGGAAGGGAAGGATGTCTTGTGGGGCAGTACTGCACTGGAGTCAGTTTTTATAATGGAATTCTGTCTCTGTGTTACAGATGGTCTCAGTGGACCTATCAGCCACTCCCTCTTAGATTTTGGCATCTGATCTGATAATTTATGGTTAATGTTGTTTGTCAAAGCGGTCTCTTCTCATGTTTTATTTGGATATGTTGATTTATATAATTTTATACCAGAGTGTTAAACATGCATTGTTCAAATTGTATTTATAAATGAGATCATTGAAACATCCTTGAAAATGAATACTGGCATTTATATTTAAATCAGAGTGAGCTCTTACTTTCTTGTTTTGGGTTTCATGAGAATTACTGTGTGATCTTGCAGACATTTGGACCCTTGTGATCCAGCAGTAAAGGAAATAGGAGGTAACAAGTCAGTTTCCTGGGGAAGCTGTTATGTGTGAGGAGTGACACTGGCAGACACAGTACTTACTGGTGGGATTCAAATTTGGAAGGCCTAGAAGAAGTTGGGAAATAGGCTATTAGTCTTGAAAATAACTTGTGTAAGCTGACATTAGATATACATACATTGCACTCATTACTTAAGTGTATTCCCCTGAAATGTCATTGCTTAATGCTCGGTATGACTGCTACAGCATTATAATTTGTTGTACCAGGATAAGTGTGAGGTTATCTAGAGATAAGCCCAAGTGGGACATTCAGTAGGCAATAGGATACAACTGTGTGTGTATGTATATACATCCCCATCTCTATCTCTTTCTGTATCTATCTAGAGAGAAAAGAGTCAGTTGGTTTTTTGCTCATTTTTTTTGGCATGAACGAACTCATCTTCTCACCTGGGTTAAATTAACAGTATTTTTGCTTGCTTCTCAGCCAACAGCCTTTCCCTGTTGTAAATAATTTGCATTTTGTTATTAAAACTATATTTAACTCATTTAAATATTTTATTGAGTGCTTACTAAATACAGGCACTATTTTAACCATGGGGTTCAACCAGTAAAAAGATAAATGGAGTTATTGCCTTCCTGGGAGCGTGTTACTTTTGGACAGCCCAGTGAAGAAGACAAACCATAAACCTATTAAGCACATAAATATGTCAGGTGATGATGTATCATAAGGGACAGTCAGGCTAAGCTGAGGGGACAGAGAATGACCAAGGCAGTGAGTTTTATTCAAAGTGGTTTGGGAAGTCTCTCTAGTAAGGGAGTTTTGAGGGTGAAAGATTTGAGGGAAAAACCTTCCAACTAGGAGGAAGAGCAAGGATAAAGGCCCTGAGGGGAGATGCCTGCAAAATGTGGTTGAGAAAAACCAAGGAGGCCAAGTGATACTGGTAAAATAGAGGGGAGGAGCAGACAGCAGGATGCAAGAGTTATGGTCCTGGAGGACCTCATAGGGCTTGGTGAGGAACCAGTGTTTACTCTAAATAAAATGGAAAACCTTATAGGGTTTTGGGCAGAGGAATGACAGTATAGAGATTACTAGTCAAAGGACCACTTTGCTTGATGTTTGGAGAATAGACTGTGGATGAACATGGTTTAATAGGGAAACCAGTTAGAAGGTCTTCACAAATAATCTGAGTGAGACGTGACAATGGTTGGGATAATAGTGGTGGAAGGAGCGAAAAGTGGTCTCCCTGGAGGAGTTGGATCCTAGTAAATTTGGGAGCATTGGGTTAGAGGTTTAAAATCAAGGGACTGGATGAAATCAGCTGGAGCAGAGAGAGAAAAACAGAAGTCAGAGGACTAAACCTTAGGGTCATCCACATTTAGAGCCCAGGAAAATGAGAAGGAAAGAGAAACCTGTGGGGTAAAATGAGAAACAAGAGAGAGTTTTTTGGTTTTTTGGTGTTTGTTTTTGTGTTGTTGTTTTTTGTTTTTGTTTTTGTTTTTGTTTTACAAGAGAGAGTTTTTAATGTTCATTGCTTTCACCAAAGAAAACAATCTGAAACTAATTTTTACAGGTAAATTCCAAACTTCACTTTTATTAACCAGTTTTCATAAGAGAAAAGTATAGGTGAATTGTCTTTCAATGGATTGTGACTTTAAATTTTGTGTTCTCAAAGTTAATTTGAAGCTTTCTAGCTTCAGTTGGGAATTTAAAAAGTATAATTAAAAGAGGAAACGCTTGAAGTCCGGAATTGTGATGCCACCAACTTTGGCTTTCTTTTTCAATATTCCTTTGGCTATTTGAGGTCTTTTCTGGTTCCATATAAATTTTAGGATTATTTGTTCCATTTCTTTGAAAAAAATGGATGGTACTTTGATAGGAATTGCATTAAATGTGTAGATTGCTTTAGGTAGCATAGACATTTTCACAATATTTATTCTTCCAATCCAGGAACATGGAACATTTTTCCATTTCTTTGTGTCTTCGTCAATTTCTTTCATGAGTACTTTATAGTTTTCTGAGTATAGATTCTTAGTCTCTTTGGTTAGGTTTATTCCTAGGTATCTTATAGTTTTGGGTGCAATTGTAAATGGGATTGACTCCTTAATTTCTCTTTCTTCTGTACCCCTGGGGATAAAAATATGTGTTTATAAAAATAAATAAATTAAAAAAAAAAAGAGGAAACACATTCAGGGTTTATAATTAAAATAGGTGCCAATGTTATTAGGCTGGGGGCTAGTTGTTTAAAGAAAGGATTAATTAATTAGATTTTAGTTGTAAAAGAAGTAGCTGAAAAAGTCTTATAGATTACTACCGGACTTTTCACAGGCTTTTTTTTTTTTTTAATTTTTTTTTTTTAATTTATTTGACAGAGAATACAAGTAGACAGAGAGGCAGGCAGAGAGAAAGGAAAGCAGGCTCCCTGCTAAGCAGAGAGCCCAATGCGGGGCTCAATCCCAGAACCCTGGGATTATGACCTGAGCCGAAAGCAGAGGCTTTAACCCACTGAGCCACCCAGGTGCCCTTTTTCACAGGCTTTTTAAGAAACTCTATCTCTTAACATGATACTCATAATGGGATTCTGCTCTTATCACCAAATCTAAAGTCCAATCATCAACTCTCTTCCAATTATATCACCAAAGGTCTTTCCCCAGATTCAGTTAATTTCTTTTCAATGGATTAGAGAAGATGCAAGATATCTTCAAAAGAGGGGAAAAAAATGTAACACTTGCCAACACTTTATTCTAGTAAGAGCTATATGTGATATCTTGGTTTAGAGGTCCCTCAAACCCCTCAGGTCCTAAGATAAGGAACTGGGAGCAAGTGGTATATTTGGGAGGTGATTCCAAGGAGAATGGTGAGTGTGTGGGTAAGTCAGATAGGAAGGGAGGAGAACCGTTGCAGAGAGCACTAATGAGGTCTTTGCATGGGCTGCGGGGCCCTCAGAGAGACCAGGGGGCATAATCTTGTGCTTATTGGAATGCCTTGTTCCCTGCGCTTCCAGCCTCTTCTGAGCACTTTTGTGGCCGCAGAACACCCTCAAGCAAAGACATACAGGTACTTGAAGTAGGGTACTGTCCATATGTGAATATCCTATCCACAGAAGCTGCTGGTGATTTCCAGGTGACCAAGGGGTAATGGGTGGGGCATCAGTATTGACATCTTCAAAAAAGGACCTTCCATACCAAAAGGAATGCACCCTGTTCGATGATCCATCTCTTGTGGTGAAAAAATGGAATGTTTCCTAATGTGACATTGTATTTAGAGCCAAACATACAACAGGTCATTCTCAACAAACAAAAAGAATCACAAGAAGAGTTACTCTGAAAAGTAATATGATTTTATCTCAAACTGGCAAAGATTCTTCTAAGTGATAATACTCTTATGACTCAGCAATTGTGCTTCCAGGAATCTATCCAAAGAGGATCGTCAGAAATACAGGCAAAATAGCTACCCATGTTACTTAAACTAGGGCTGAATGGCAAGATAGAAATCAGAATTAGTCCGCCTTGATGTCTAACAAAAGGAAAGGAGTTAAGTTATTCTGCTTCATTCATAGGATAGAACATTTCCTAGCTATAAAACTGAGGTTTACAAATGACTTAATGACATGGAAAATGAGTATGATATAATGTTTAATGAAAAGGAATACAAACACACATATATATATAAATTTAGAATACATCAAAAAGAAATTGGTAGTAAAGACATCAAAATATTAACACTGACAACCCAAAAGAAGTTGACTTATGTATAATTTTTACTTTCTTCTTTATTCTATACTTGCTTTTCTGACTAGAGTATTACATTTTTTTACGTATACTTTCATGTATTACTTTTACTATTTAATAAGAAGTATTACTTTTACAATAAAAATTATATTTAAAATACTTTTAGAACACAGCAACAGTTTCATATAAAAATGATGTTTTTGTTCCTAATGTTAATCTTTTATATATTGACAGATATTTCAATCATTTGACTCAGGAAAACCTCTTACTAGTAGAGAAAATATGCAGGTAAGGATAACAATATTTTATAAATGTTGGATATTTAAGAAGGATAATTTTGAGTCATTTCAATCTATTTGGTAGATGTAACCTTTGTTTTTTTAAAAATCTCCTATGTAATATGCTCTTCTATTTCTAATAATGGGGTTTTATCTCTAAATGCTGAGGTCTAAGGTAGGATTGTATCACACAGATCTTGTTTTCCAATTGGGCAAATATCAATTATTGGTTGTAAATTTTTCAACTATGTATGTGTATTCATTTTGTTTATGTAGCCATGTCAAGTATCTAATTTTAATATTTATTTTGATTACCTAAATGAGAATGGCTGACTTCGATTGTAAGAAAAGGATTTTGTGTGTTTTGCTATTACCTCACTTGTTCAATACTATTTTTCCTCACATCCTTTCTCCAGTCTGAGACTGCCTCTCAGTCTCTCCAATGGTTTTGTTTTTCTCCTTTAGTGAAAATTTAAAAAATTACAAAAATAAAAAAGTTTTATTGAGAAATAATTGACATACAACATTGTGTAAATTTAAGGTGTTTGAATAGTTTGATACATTTTCATACTGCAGTATGCTTACCACTGTACTGCTAGCTAATGGAAGATTTTCATATGACATTTTCATAAGAAACTCCTCTCACATTCCAGTGTCCTTTACAAAGAGAGGACTAGACTGCCCATCTCAGTATGTTTGTTCCTGTCAGTAATTGAATGACTGGGATTTAAGTTTTTGATAACCTAGTAGCATTTAAATATCTTTCTTGTTTGTTTCAAGTTTTTACATAAACTCTAGTTAGTTAACTAGAATTGTAGTAGAATATTAGTTTCAGGAGTAGGATTTAGTGATTCATCACTTACATATAACACCCAGTGCTCGTGACAAATGCCCTCCTTAACCCCCATCACCCATTTAGCCCATCCCTCACCCCACCTCCTCTCCAGCAACCCTCAGGATATTCTCTATAGTTAAGATAAGTTAAGATAAGTTAAGTTAATGTTTCACCCCTCACACTTCCCTCCCCATGTTCATCTGTTTTGTTTCTTAATTCGCACCTATGAATGAAATCATATGATATTTGTCTTTCTCTGCTTATTTCACTGAGCATAATACTCTCTAGCTCCACCCATGTCATGTAGCATTTAAATATCTTGAAATCATTTTTTAAAACCTTAGGAGTTTCGTCAGTCTGTCCACTAGAAAGTGTGAGAACGGAGGAGTGCTAGTGCAGCCATTGTTAAGGGGTTACAGACAGGTAAGGCATTCACACAACCAGGTGTTAGTCAGTGTAGAGAGACAGGTGCACGTCGTTTTAATTTTTTTAAATGCTAGGAAACAGCATTCTGTTTCATTAAGCTATTTGTATTAAATAATTCTGAGAAACATTTCTCAATATTGCTTTAGTTTTGTCTTCCATAATTTTGATAGGCATTATAGCCACATTGTATTAAATGTAATCTTAATACTTTTCCATTATTGTTCATGTTACTCCACAAACTTCGCTTTTAATTATACTTCAGATGATTCATTGCTTGGCCTTAAAATTTGTTTTGATTTATAAGCAAGTTGCCTGAAATGAAAGAATCGGCATGAGGAAGATACACATACATATTCACATTTTGTTTCAGTGTTCCAAGACCTTCGGATGTTTAAGAATATTTATTTCTTTGCAGTTATAAATTCCAGGGCATCCTAAAAAAACTTCTTTAAGCAGGGTTTTTGGGCATAAAAAGAATGTCTGCGTGATCATTTCTTTTTAAACAAAAGAGACTGACAGTGTAACGGAAAGCTGATTTCTATTAGCTAATTAATTAAAACAGAACTGTTGGTCTGCTTGAGACTTTTCAGATTACACTTTATATTTTCTGTAAAGGGGGAGAGAAATGAGTGTTAAATAGCACTACTAATTAATCTTCTTTTGATCCTCAAGTGTTTGTGTGTAATTGTCAAGGCTCATTAAGACACTGTTTGCTAGGGAGAAAAAAGAGAAGAGAAAAACCTTTTCCTCTCCTATTACACCCCCAACCAATCTGAAGTTTCTCCCCCTCCCCCGTTACAGAACGTCAGCCATTTCCCTAGTATGCGTTTGTTTCCTGCTCAGACTTAGTGCTGTTCCATGTCTGGTTCTTCTGCATGTAGTGATTTTCACGCTTTAGAAAAGAGTAGAAAATGAACAATAGTACTAGACCTTTCCACGGCCAATATTGCCTCAAACTCTCCCAAACAATGAGACTTTTCTTCATGTAAGGCAAATAGTTTCTCTCTCTTCTAGAATAGACAGCCCCAACACATGAAATTATTAATTAACAAATACTGTTAATTCAACACATATTTAGTAAGAGCATATTGTGTGCTCTCATTCTGGTGCTGTCAAAGAAATATTTCAGTCAGTCAGCGGCAGACAAACTCCAAGCCCTCAGGAAGCTTAAATTTTAGTGCGAAAAACAATAATAAGCGTGATATATAAGTAAACATTATAATTAAGTAAATTATATAGTAAGTTAGAGGGTGAACCATGCTAAGGGAGAGAATAAACCCAGAAGCACGAAAGGGGATTGGAAGCAACTTATTGGAGCTAGATTGGGGCTTGTAATTTTAAATGAGGTAATCAAGTTAGTCTTCACTGAAATGGCATTTGTGAATGGGTAAAGGTACAAGTTTAGGAAATCTGGAAGTTTAGGAACCATCTAGGAAGAGAGTGCAGTGAGTACAAAGGCCTTAGGGGCAGGATTGCCTAGCTTGGTGAGGGGCATCTTAGTGTGGATAAGAGTTGTGTGGATGATGCTAAAGCAGTAGGAGACAGGGTCAGAAGGGTGAAGGGGGGCCAGTTTGAGAAGAGCCTTGTAGGGTCTTTGTAACTTAGATTCTTCTGAACAGCATGGGGAGCCACTGGAAGGTTTGGAGGAGAGGCGTGGCCTGATCTACCTGTTTAAAGGGTTCACTTTAGCTGATCTTTTGAGCCTACTGTGTGCTAGGTACTGTTCCAGTGCTGTTAAACGTATGAGTCAATTAACAATACAGACAAATGCCCAGCCCTCAGAAGGCTTGTATTTTGTGTGTGTGTGTGTATGTGTATGTATGGTTTTGAGGAGGCTAGGAATACAGTTTTAGGCATGTTGAGCTTGAGATATCTCCTAGATATCCAAGTGGACTATTTGAGTCAGAAGTTGATTTGACTTTAGAAGAGAGATTGGAGGGCACCTGGGTGGCTCAGTGGGTTGGGCCTCTGCCTTCGGCTCGGGTCATGGTCTCAGGGTCCTGGGATTGAGTCCCGCATGGGGCTCTCTGCTTGGCAGGGAGCCTGCTCCCTCATCTCTCTCTCTCTGCCTGCCTCTCTGCCTACTTGTGATCTCGCTCTGTCAAATAAATAAATAAAATCTTTAAAAAAAAAAAATGAAGAGAGATTGGAGCTGGAAAGAAAAACTCAGGATTTTATCAGCATTTAGATGAAACTAAAACCATGAGGCTGTTTAAGATCATCTAAGGGGGAATAAAAGAGATCATCTAAGGGGATGGAGTAAGGAGAGGGAAGAGAATCAAGCCCTGAGGCACTCTGGTGTTAAAGGAGAAGAAGAAGAAGCAACAAAGACTGTAAAGGAATGACTGACGGGTTAGGGAAGAAACCAAGAGAATGTGGTGATTTGAAAGCTAAGAGAAATATTTTCAAAAGAGAAATTGATTAATAGTGCTGTATTTTGCAGATGAATCAAGCTCCATAACTCACTGAGTCTTAAACATGAATCTTTTTTTTCACATTTAGTAGCTCTGAAATTAGAATGCATTTTATAGTTGAGGGCATGTGATGGCTTAATTGGCATATAAGATAATGATGTCTTAGATTAAAACTAAAATGGCATATGAGGATTAAGAATTGATTACTGGTGTAAGGTAAGTATAGGCCATTGGTGACCTTGACCAAAGGGTTTCAGTGTATCAAAAGAGTGGGTTTAAAAACAAATGAAAGGAGAGAAATTGGAATTTTGACAACTCTTTGGATCATTGCTATTAAGGGGAGTGAGAATTTAGGTAGTAGCTGGAGAAGGGAGTCAAGGCAGACAGAGTTTTTGTTTTTTAAAGATGGAAGAGAAGATAGCATGGCTATGTGCTGATGAGAATGTCTGCACAAGGGGACATTTATGACGTAGGAGAAAATGGCTGGGTAGACCAGTGGGGAGAAGATCAATGATCTCAGGGGCAGGAAGGGAGGCAAGGTGATGGGGCAGATGCTTGGGTGGGTGGGAGAATGGAGCTATAGGTCTGTGGACACTACTCTGCTTCAGTTTTCTCTTTTAAATAGAAGAAGCAAGGTCATTAGCTAGGAGGAGCATGGGGAGGAAGGGTCAGAATTTTGAAACAGAGTGTGAAATGGTTGTCTAGGAGAGAGGGAGAGTGTATGGACTAGGAAAATGTAGGATGATGAGCAGGTAGCACTGAGGTTTGGTCAGGATCTTAAAGTGGGCTGGCTTAGTCTGACTGCATGCTTTCCTTCAGCCTTCTTTAGCTGCAGGGTGCACACCCTAAAAGAGGTCCAGTGTTGGATTTTACCATGGCTGTTTTGCCAAGAAAGTGTATGTGCACAGGAGAGGGACCAGGGAGTTGATAGAAGGTGTACACAAGGGGGAGTTCTAATGATTGAGCTCAGAATCTAAGCTGGGTAGGGAGCTTACTTGTCTGTCCATGCTTCCCCTGCTCCTGTCCTACTACCTCTTATTTACTCATGTGAAAGCAGAACAGCCGGGTGTGCATGGCTGATGAGCTTTTGTGGGTTCTTTATTTTGATAAGGTGTCCCCTCCCTTGCTCTCATCACCAGGTTCACTCATGTGGCAGAGCTGGGCTCATGAGGCACAGGTCACAAACTAGTGGGGAATGGCGGAAGCACATAGAACTGCTGGGATTGTTTTGACATTATACGTCTCTTGTGATAGACCTGCCATTTATGGCACATCTAACACCAATTGAGGAATGCAAAAGAGGATGAAAACTAATATTACCTGAAAACAGTATTTTACTCATTTGCTTTGTTTTCTTTTTTGTTTCTTTTTTTTTTTTTAGGCCCTTGATGAATTAATAAGTAAAGGATTGCCTCTAATTCTGGTTACAGTTGGCCAACGACATCTCTTAAATAAGTTTTCTTTTGTTAAAGCATACTTCTTAATAAGTGTGGCTGCAACAATAAATTGTGTCCCAGAAAATTCAATGAAAACAATCTACCATGGACTTGCTTCTGAGAAGAGTAGAGGAAACCTTCCAAACTTGAAAGGTAATCTTTTGTTTTATTTTTTGCTTGTTTTTTTTTCTCCTTTTTCACCAGCCATTCCCACTCCACTCCCAGTAATCCATATGAACAGTCTAGTATATATTCTTCCATATTTTTCTCTAATCTCAGTGACACACATATGTTAGGTATATGTATATCCATTTATAAATATCAGTATTCATACACTTTTTCATATATATATGTACAAAATAGGATTTGTCATTGATTTATAAAACATATATTATACATTTTTCTGCATCTTGTGTTTTTTAATCAGAAAAACTTCACTAAAACCACTTTAAGTCAATTGCTTTGTTTGTTCTGCTATTCTGGTTGTATAATATTCTTTTTTTTTTTTTTAATTTTTAATTTTTTAAAAAATTTTTTTTATAAACATATAATATATTTGTATCCCCAGGGGTACAGGTCTGTGAATCTCCAGGTTTACACACTTCACACCACTCACCATAGCACATACCCTCCCCAATGTCCATAACCCCACCCCGCCTCTCCCAACCCCCCTCCCCCCATCGACCCTCAGTTTGTTTTGTGAGATTAAGAGTCACTTATGGTTTGTCTCCCTCCCAATCCCATATTGTTTCATTTACTCTTCTCCTACCCCCTTAACCCCCCATGTTGCATCTCCTCTCCCTCATATCAGGGAGATCATATGATAGTTGTCTTTCTCTGATTGACTTACTTCGCTAAGCATGATACCCGCTAGTTCCATCCACGTCGTCGCAAATGGCAAGATTTCATTTCTTTTGATGGCTGCATAGTATTCCATTGTGTATATATACCACATCTTCTTTATCCATTCATCTGTTGATGGACATCTAGGTTCTTTCCATAGTTTGGCTATTGTAGACATTGCTGCTGTAAACATTCGGGTGCACGTGCCCCTTCTATGCTGTGAATATCTCATGATTTATTCAACCATCCCATTATTGATGTGCATTCACTGTGTTTCTAGGGAGCCATGCTGAAGTTCTATGTTCTAGATATCCATATCATATAGTGTATATTTCTATGGGGTAAGATGCTCATGGATGGGATTTATAGGTCATAATGTCTATGTATTTTTCACCTGTATTGGATGTTGCCCTAAGAATAGTTTGTTTTTCACCATCAGGCATGGTGTTAACTGTTGGTTTTTTATAGATATTCTTTATCAGGCAGGGGAATTTCTTTCTTATTCCTATTTTGTTGAATGATTTTATTTTAAAAGGGTATTGCATTTTATTAAGTGCTTTTCTTGCATCTATTAAGATGATTTCTATGTTTTTTTAATTATGTCATATTAGTCACCATAGAGTACATTATTAGTTTTTGATGTAGTATTCCATGATTCATTGTTTGCATAAAACACCAAATAAACAAAGAGACAACACTCCAGAATGGGAGAAGATATATGCAAGTGACACTGCAAAGATCTGATCTCCAAGACCAGAATTTTTAAAAATTCTGATGCTATATTGCAGTAATTGATTTTTTAAAAAGATTTTATTTATCTATTTGACTCAGAAAGACATAACGAGAGAGGGAACACAAGCAGGGGGAGTGGGAGACAGAGACGCAGGCTTTCTGCTGAGCAAGGAGCCCTATGTGGGGCTTGATTCCAGGACCCTGGGATTGTGACCTGAGCTGAAGGCAGCCGCTTAACTACTGAGCCACCCAGTTTCTAAAGTGATTGATTTTTGAGTGTTTAAACCAACCTTGCATTCTTGGACTAACTCCCATTTAGTCATGGTATATAAATTCTTTTTATACGTTGCTGGACTCTGTTTGCTAGTATTTTCTTGAAGATTTTTATATCCTTATTCACAACAGATATTGGTCTGTAGTTTTCATTTCTTGTTGTATCTTTGTCCAGTTTGGATATTGGAATAATATTGTCTCTGTTTTAAAATGTAACGTTTATTATTATTTGGGTATGATGAGGCCAACAGATCAGGAGATTATGGCCACGAAAAACATAGTTTGTTATTTAATCTTCCAAGAGGAAGGGCAGGCTACTACCTAGAAGGGCCACACAGAGAAGCACCAGGGTCACTTAGAGGCAAAGAGAGCAGGAGGAAAATGTGGATCAAACTCTTCCTACCATCTGTTATATTCAGATATATCTCTCAGGGTGCTTCCATACCAGTGTCCAGGCATTTATTTTTATCGTTTTCTGTCTCTCCCTTAGTTTCTCCCTTATGGGAGAAAAACGAGCCCCAGATCTTTCTGCTGGGCCTTTCCCTATTCTTAAGCCTTCTTTCATACTCAGCTGACCTCTCACTCCAGAGCCCCCTAATTTAGGAGAAGAGTCATATAGGTAGGAGTTGGAAGAAAAGGGGAAGGAAAGGGTGTTCAATTCCATGTTATTTTAGACTTCCTCTTCCCCCTTGACAAAGTTAGTCTCTTTAGATGGGTATTTTTTGCAGTAATTCCCAGTTGTGGTTTTTTTACTCTCTCTCTCTCTTCTGTAGTCTAGAAGTCAGGTTTACTAAAGAAGGCAGAGTCTGTGATTTAAATTACCTCAGTTCTCCCTGGCTCAGAATGAGGACAATCTTTAGATCGTGGGTGGGTATTTTGAGATCCTTGGGAATTGTGGACTATGCTATTCCAAATAGTCTCACTCTCTGCTCTTAATATGAGATGCTTATGCAAATCAGTAAAACTGACATTTCCAAGATCTTACTGAAATGTTATAAATATCTGGAAGAACCAAAATACTCTGGGGGCCTGAAGGGGTCCTGTGATCTCAGGGGATGAACTACTACTCTGTTTCAGTAGCCAATAATTTAAAGAACATCACCAAGCATCCTAAAGATCCTTTCAGAATTGTCCGATTTGTTGTAAAAGTCATTCTTAGTCTTTGAATATGTGATATTTAGGGACCATTTGATAGAAGAGTGTTTCTAATTATCATTGTAGGTTTTTTAAAATATGAAATTTATGGATGGTGTCCCAACCAATGATGAATTTGATAAACTAGAATTAATATATAAGCTAACCACAGATATCCTTAGTTCTTCCAAAATTTTATGCCTTTTAGAGCTAAGTTTAAAGGATGATGGAAGTTCACTTGGTCAGCTTGCAAAAGTGAAAGATGACTTCACTTTTAAGACAGTGAAGGTAAGTTTGGAAATTTTTTCAAATCATACTAAATTGGCTACCAAAACGTCCACTATTAAGCCCTGCACAGTCTCAGGGTTGTGTTTGCTCTTGGGAGACCAAGTAGCTTTTCTCGCATAAGCATGGATTGAGGCCAGAGATGGAGTGTACTCCTCATGAGAAAATAAGATGCCCAGAGGTTGTCAGACTTCAACTCTGCAGCCTTATTAAAGCACTGTGGAGTGTTCCATGCCCTGTTTCACATTTCCTAATGTTAATAGTGATGACAACAGCACCACAGTTACCATTTATTCCCTGCTTACGACATGACAGGCACTTTGCATGATTAATTTTTACAATTCTGTGAGGTAGGCATTAATCATTTTTGAGCTATGTTGTGCTGAACCATGAAAAAATTGAGGCTTAGAAAAAAATTCACTAATGCAATGCAACTAATAAAATACAGATGGTGTTCTTAACCATTATACTAAGCTGCCCTATTACTTATATAATATTTACTGCTCTGTACAAACAAGTTTTTAGAGACCTGTTTCTTGAAAGATTGGCTGGTCCCTTTCTCTGCCATACTAAGTTGCAATTTACTATTGATTGTCTATTGTAAAATCTCATTATCTTCAGATTACCAGTTAGGTGACCATAGTTTAACTTGAAATACAGTCAATCCTCATTATTCACAGATTCAGTATTTTCTAATTTGCCTATCTGCTAAAATTTACTTATAACTCCAAAATTGATACTCATGGCTCATTTGTGGTCATTTGTGAACATCACATAGCACAGAAAAATTTAAGTTGCCTAAATTCCCAGCTGAGTTGGGCAAGAAATGCTCTTTTTACTTCTACCCTCATACTGTAAACAAAGGTCCTTTCCATGGTCTATTTATTGTCACATTTTTTTTTCATTTTTATGCTTTTCATTGGCGATTTCACTACTTGAAATGGCCTCTAATTATAGTGCTGAAATGCTGTTTAGTATTCCTAAATGTAAGAAGGCTGTGATGTGCTTTATGGAGAAAATAAATGTGTTCCATAAGCTTCGGTCAAGCATGAGTTTTATAGCCATTAGCTGTGAGTTCAAGGGTAGCGAATTTACCGTATATATTAAATAATGTGTCCTTAAATATAAACACACATTAAACAAAGTAATGTGTGGATCCTTTGGCAAAAATGTTGTGACCCAAGGCCCACAGGAACCTATCACTGTATTTCCTGTAGGAGCAATACTTCAGTATTTGCTAATTCAGTATTTGCAGCCACTTTATAGATGAGTTCCAGTGCTATGAGTAATGATCATTGACTGTACATACAATAAAGGGTAACTGTTACACATGCTTACTCTTGCCATTACTCTCCTTTTCATTTCCTGTTGCCTTTTTCCTGTTTGCTGAGCACTCTTCTCTGATAATTATGTTCAGACTTCCTATCTGGTCTTCCATTTATTGTTGCTTTTCTCAGTATGTGAAAAACACCTGGCTGAATGAGAATGTGATATTACTTGTATTGTTTCTGAACTTACATGATTATGTGATGCTCTTTCTTTAGTTAATTTTACTGTCAGAAGCTGAGGACAGGCTAAACCTCCTTGTGTCAGAGGTGGAGCCTCCAGGCCATAAGAACGTCTCTCAGTGTTCTGCTGGTGAGTTGGAGATTGTGGTGGAGGCCAGGCTTCAGCTGGCTGCAATCGCCCTGCAGAGACATAGGGCAGCATACAGGTGAGTCTTTTCAGGCACAGAAGAGAATTTCTTCCTAACCCTAATTTGTCAAATATACCTTATTTTATGTGCATTTTATAAATTCCATATTAATAGAGCTTACTTGTGTTTTATTTTTCAGGGAAGCTTTCATATAGTATTACCCTTAAAATGACAATTCTGGGGCTCCTGGGTGGCTCAGTGGTTAAGGCCTCTGCCTTCTGCTCAGGTCATGATCTCAGGGTCCTGGGATCGAGTCCCGCATTGGGCTCTCTGCTCAGCAGGGAGTGTGCCTCCTCCTCCTCTCTCTCTATGCCTGCCTCTCTGCCTACTTGTGATCTGTCTGTCAAATAAAAAAAAATGACAATTCTAAACAAAATGATTGCTTTATTAAAGCATACAGCTAGGATGTTTTATATAGAGAATGAACAAACTAACAGAGCTTTGCTTTTAAATTTTATTTATATATTTATTTTTTATTTTTTAATTTTAACTCCAGTATAGTTAATATTAAAAACAAGCTCTATTATTAAAAAGTAACATTTTCTGAACTATATTTTGCTGAACCATTTAAGAAACAGTTTTGGGTGGATGATATTTAAATGTTATGCAATTGTTAGTGTCAGAACTTTCATTTGACTTGTTCATTGATTCATTCATTTACCCAACAAGTATCCATTAACTACTTCATTGTTAGGCTCTGATCTAGACACCGAGGATATAACGATGAATAGAATATAGTTCCTCTATCCAAATGCTGAAAGATATATAAACAATTAAGTGGGATAATAGAAAAATGTATAGACCTATATTTTCAAGAACTTCTCATATCATTTGCGGTAAATACCTCTGTCATGAGGCCCTCTGACATTTCAGTAATGATTCTTTGAATCATGCACAAGTTTATTATCTTACCATTCATTAATTCATTCAAAAAATAATTTTGGGGACCTACAATATGCTAGCCACTATTCTAAGTTCTTGAGATATATCAATATCCCAATACTGGATAGATACTATATAGAAAAATATTTAACAATATTGAAAACAATCATACTCTTATGGAGTTTTTAAGAGGTAATAAAGGTTGACAGTAAACTGTGAAATTAATAAGTAAGTAAATTACATAGTGTGGTCAAAAATGATACATGATAGGGAGATGTTAGGAGTAGAGATGGGGGAGAAAGAGGAGCCATCATTTTAGTATTGTATGGTTATAATATAGGGTATGACTCCAATTTGATGTTCAATGGCTGAGAGATTTTAAGCCCCACCACTCCCCTTTCTGCCCCACATCTGAGCAGGCAGATAAGAAAGTCCAGCTGCTTTCTTTGTGAGAAAAAGGAGAAGACTGCCTGTAGCTTTTGCAAAGAGAAAATCAATTCAGCAGAAATCTCACTTTGCTCTGATTAGAAACATACAACCATCTCATCAGTGTGAACCTTGACCAAAGTCCATCCCATGATTAACCACATCTAAATTTGATTTCATGCTAGAGCAGTATAGATTTTTGGACATTTATAAATTTTTGTAGTTTCTGAACAGGGATGAAAATCCATATAGTCCATTTCGGAGCAGTGACTCTCAAAATGTGGTCTGCAGATTTCTAGGGGTGTCTCCAAGACCCTTTCAGGGGAACTGTAAGGTCAGAACTATTTTATAACAAAACTAAGATGTCATTCACCATCTTCATTGTGTTGTTATTTGCACTGATGCTGCAAGAGCAACAGTAGTAAAACTTCTGGCATCCCACCGTGAATCACAGTAGTGGCACCAAACCATTCTAGTTGTCATTGAATCCTTTACTGCCCCACACTTGCAATTAAAAAAAAAAAAAAAAAAAAAAGCAGCCAGAGCATCTGGGTGGCTCAGTCATTTAAGTGTCTAACTCTTGGTCTCACCTTAGGTCTTGATCTCAGGCTTGTGAGTTCAAGCCCTGCACTGAGCTCCACACTGGCTTGGAACCTACTTTAAAGAAAAAGAAAAAAAAAAAAGCCTTGTTTCCCTTAAGAATGCCTTTGATGAACCAATAGAATCTGTTACATTTATAAATCCCTATCCTTAAATTTATTTTTAATATTCTGTGGAAATATTAAATGGGAAATACACCTCAAGCATCTTTGCTACATATCAAAGTCTGGTAGTTGTCTTGGGGAAGAAGACATACGTGACTGAAATGAGAGCTGAACAAGCAGTTTGTTTCATGGAACACCGTTTTTATTTGAAAAAGCAGCTGACAAACTGGTTTTTCAGACTTGGGTGTTTGACAGGCATTTTATTGAAAATGAGCAAAACGAACATGGCACTTCTAGGAAAACAACAAATACTATTTGTTGCTAATGATAAAATCTGAATAGGGAAATGAGAATTTTGGAAAATTTCTGTTTGTCACCATGAGCTTGACAGTTTTCTAATGCTTATATTTTTCTGATGAGATTGGTGGTAATTAATATTAACAAGCATCATTTTTTAAAATTGTATAAAGAAATGTTTCAACATTAAGGGGTTTTGGGTAACTCAGGGAGTTATAATACTTTACAAATCACCAGTGGATAATGTTCCAAAATCCTGGTTAACAAGGTAGACCAATAGTTTGTAATGTAAGAGAGGAGGAAATTTCATCAGCATGTGCTATTAACTTTCACATTGAAGAAGCTTTTAAAAAGCTATCACTTGGGGCACCTGGGTGGCTCAGTGGGTTAAAGCCTCTGCCTTCAGCTCAGGTCATGATACCGGGTTCCTGAGATGGAGCCCCACATCGGGCTCTCTACTCAGTGGGGAGCCCGCTTCCCCCTCTCTCTCTGCCTGCCTCTCTGCCTACTTGTGATCTCTGTCTGTCAAATAAATAAATAAAATCTTAAAAAAAACTATTTCTTGTCACATTTTGGTATAGTATCAAAGAAAAATATTCACAATTATTTTAAAAAGATAGGAAAATACTCTTCGTGTTTCTAACAGCTATCTCTGTGAGGCCTAGCCTTCTTCATATACTTCAGTCAAAACAATATGTCACAACAGACTGTAGAAGCAGATATGAAAGTCTTCTATTAAGTAGATTTTCTCTTATTTAGCCAGACATTAAAGAGATTTGCAAAAATGCAAAATAATGGCATTCTTCTATCTTTGTTGTTTTTGGGAAATATAAATGTTTTCATAAAAATACATTATGATATAAATATTAATGGGTTTATTTTTATTTTAAAATTATTAATAGTAACAGTTAAAGTTCTACTGTGGTAAATATTGATGGAACTCTGGGGATTCTCAATAATTTCTAAGGGTATAAATGAGTGCTGAGATAAAAAAAGCTTGAGACCACTGATTTAAAGTATTATATTTGTAGCTATCTTTAAGAATACAGTGGTAGTTGATTGATGGTAAATGGGCTTAGCATAATAATGTACCATTTTCCCTTTTGAAGTTTGAAGAGAAGGAACTTTACTAGGTGATTTCTTTTTTTTTTTTTTTAATTTTTAAAAATTTTTTTTTATTTTTTATAAACATATAATATATTTTTATCCCCAGGGGTACAGGTCTGTGAATCGCCATGTTTACACACTTCACACCACTCACCATAGCACATACCCTCCCCAATGTCCATAACCCCACCCCCCAAACGCCCTCCCCCCATCAACCCTCAGTTTGTTTTGTGAGATTAAGAGTCACTTATGGTTTGTCTCCCTCCCAATCCCATCTTGTTTCATTTACTCTTCTCCACTAGGTGATTTCTTAATAGAAAATATTTGCTTTGTGTATATACATGTAAATACAATGTCTTTCTCTCTATATATAAAATATATGACTATATGATTTCCTATAGAAGAATATAGAACTCTTTTCTTCAAACTATTTTAGAGAGCAACAGCAGCCCTAGAAAATATTTCTTGTTGTTTATCTTCCTTCTTTCCCCAGCCCTCCACATGTCTTACACCCATGGAAGACATGAGTGAAGGAAACAAGGAAATAAGAAACTAAAAATCACAAAATGGCCGCAGAAAGGAATGTCATTATAGAGCTTTAATTCGAAAACCAGATAGACATATGCAAATAATGTGCAAGTATATCAGAATCGCTCCTATTTTAAATACATGAACCTGGCCCTTGGGACAAAACCTGCAAAAACTTTGATGTTATTGCCTTTTTGCAGTGGAGTTGTCATTTGGGGAAGCCTACGTCAAGATGAATGAGTTTTTCTTATGTGAACTTTACCCCCCATGAGCTTCTGTTTGGGCACTGCTGAGAGTGTTGAACAGTCCCTTTCCCAAATGATGGTTAGCTTGACATTTTATGATACTTCTAATAAAATTATGTGTCAAGGAAATTGAAAGGCACATTCCCTAGGGTGACAGGTAGAGTGAGCTGCATGGATTTTATGAGAACAAACTGACCATTTTTGTCATGAATGTTAATAAGAAATAAATGGGATCAAAGTTATTCCAATTGTATTTCTACTTCTTTTAGGGATGCCTCTCAGAGTGCTATCTTTTTTTTTAAATAAGTTCCTTTCTGTTCTCCTTTATATTTAATTTATTGTCTAAATGGGATAACATTTGAGCCTTTTAATTTTGTGTCAGGATGAAACCTCCTTCCTTGGGGATTCTAGAGTGTTTATAGTGAGTAATCCTCTTACACTTTCTGTCCCTCTGGTGGAGAGCAGAAACTAGAAATTTTCCATTGTGCACCTACGTGGCACCAGGAGGATTAGGACATACTAGCATGTTTATATTTTATTCATTAAGTTTTTGGGTTAGCAAGATTCCAAACCTCATACCTCATTTCTCTTAAAGTCAGAATTTAGCCTTCAGAACCAGAAGGATGGGGTGGGCACCACATCCTTCTTCCCTGGCCCTCTTGGATCCTTCCTGTGCTAGCCTCTGAAGCTGCACAGGAAAGAGGAGGCTTTCGAAACCAGTGTGTACACTTGAGTAGCGGGGAAGGGTGTCAGGGAGAGGAAATTGCATTCCCATATACGTACTCAATTCATGTTACATCTTTTGTTGTTTTCTTGCTGTTTGTTTAGTTTTATTTAAATAAAAACCAGTAAGGTTATATAATCACAAATCATACCTTAGAAAACATTCTAGAAATATCTAAACCATTTTAATGACTCCGTAGAATCTTGGGAATTTAAAATTCAATAATTGCAGGAAGCTTTATATTCTAGTTAATAACATAGAAAAAAATCAGCTTGGTTCCCCCCATAAGCCCTGGCCTACTCAATACACAAAATGAGAACTGCTAGTGTGCACTGAGCATCATCTAGCTGCTAAGCATTCCTATGTTCTAAGCACACCCCATTCTTTAGGTCAACTCCGTGAGGGCAGTGACTGTATCTGCAGCCCTTAGATTTGTTCCTTGCCCATAGGAGAGCAAGTGGCAAAGTAAATACCTCATTTAATCCTTAGAATGATTCCATTTCATGAAGTCTGCAAAGTAGAATGCCAAGCAAAAGGCAGTCAAGGGGACAGAGAGATCCTTTGTGTTGACAAAAGATGTAGTCAACAATTACTATGAAGCCACCATAAACATGGCACCAAGTAACACAATACCAAAACAAAACCAAAATTGTTAGACCTGTGGAAAGACAGAGGCCATGCTCTCAGCAACAGTGAAGTGTACAGGCTCAGGGGCCAGTTGCCTGGGTTCTAATCCTGCCTCTTCTTTCTAGCTGTGTCACCTTAGGCAAGTCACTTAACATTTCTGTCTCCATTTCCTGATCTGATTATCAAGTAATGATGACAATAGTATCTACCTTGTAGGTTTGTGGTGCATATTCTGTAAATTAATTCACACAAAGCACTTAACACAGTAACTGACAGGTCGTAAACACTCAGTAAATGCCAGTTATTGTTTTTTTAAAGGATTGTAGAAAGAAAAAAAAAAAAGAAAATCTCTGTGGACAGAGTATGTGTGTTAGCATAGTGTTTTCAGCTTTTAATACAAAATGTAGACAAAATAGAAGAGGGTTTAAAAATATAATTTAAAAGTTGAGCATATGTACACACTCTGGGAACCTATGAACACTGTACCTTCTCACAAGCATCCATGGACACGTATGAAGCTGATCATATACTTGGCCAGAAACCTTTGTAACTGACCCATAGGAAGAAGTGTACCAACCACAGTCCAGGGACATGGGAGGCCTCTGGAACATATATGGAGGGAGGTGGTAGGATCTGATTTACCTCTTGATGAAGTCATTGTGACCACTGTGTGGAGAAAGGACCGCAGGAACAAGAGCCAGAGCAGGAGGCTGGTCAGGAAGCTCCCATTCGTGCAGCCTGGCAATGATGGTGGCTTGGATGAAGGTGCTAGCACTGAAGGAGGCAAGGAGCTGCTGGCTGGTACCCATATGTTGAAGGTCAAGCTGACAGAACTTGTTGATGGATTGAACATAGAGCATGAATCAGTGAGGGAGCAGTGGTGATTCTGGACTCTGCCTCTGGGATGGAAGACAAGGGGAAAGGGGCAGGTTTGGTGTAGGAGGCAAAAGCCAGAGGACCTGCTTTTAACCTATTCTGTCAGTTTCCTAGGGCTACCATAACAAAGCACCAAAAACTGGGTGGCTTTGAACAACAGAATTTTACTGTCTCATGATCCTGAAATCAGTGCTCCAAGATCATAGTGTCAGCAGGGCCAGGTTCTGTCTGAAGGCTCTAGAGGAGAAGATTTCCTTGCTTCTTGTACCTTCTGGTATTTGCCCATAATCCTTGGCATTCCTTGGCTTGTAAAGGCACCACTCCAGTCATGTGACTGTCTTTTCCCTGTGTGTCTTTATGTCACCTTTCCTCTGTGTATATCTGTCTCTCTGTTCAAATTTTCCCTTATTATACAAACAGCGGTCATATTGGAATAGTGTCCACCCTAATGACCTCATTTGAACTTGATTATTTCAGATTACCACCATTTTGGGGTACTGAGGGTTAGGACAGCAACATACTTTTTTTTTTTTTTAAGGTTTTATTTCATTGTTTATTTGGGAGAGAAATAGAGAGAGAAATAATGCATTTAAATGGGGGGAGGGGCACAGGTAGAGGGAGAGAGGGAATCTCAGGCAGACTTCCCACTGAGCACAGAGCTCAGCATGGGGCTCAGTCTTTAGTCCCTGGGTTTATGACCTGAGTCAAAATCAAGAGTGAGATACTTAACCAACTGAGCTACCCAGGCACCCCTTTTCCTTTTTTTTTTTTTTTTGGAGAGGACACAGTTCAACTCTTAACACCTGTTAAATGTAATTGTCTATTAACTATCCAAGTGGGGACTTAGGTAGATAGGTATATTGTCCATTTGGCTTTTGCTCAGTCTTTCCATGTTATAAAATATTGCTACAGAGCATCTTCAGGTATACAGATTGTTCTGCGTTTTGGTTTCATTTTGGAATAGATTTTTAAAAGAACTCTTGGAATATATATTATTAAGATATTTTGAAGAAGTTTGACATCAGTTATAAATTGGTTTAAAGTGCAGACAAACTTTTATGTGTGGCGCAACAGGAAGTCAGAAGAATTCCCATCTCCAAGGTTCTGTTTTCTTTGTTTAGTACATTTGCCTTTGATACTTCTAGATGCTGATTAAGCAATACTTTAGTGTAAGAGTTTCCAAGTGTATAGCTTTAAATAACAAAGTTCTATAACCTTGAAAGGTGGAGAATCACACTGTGATACATATGAAATGTATATGTGTTCATTTTATTAGTGAGATTGTCAGTACTAATAAGATTTAAAATATATTCTCTACTTTAGTGCTGCAATAGTATTTTCTACGCTTAGACTTCTCCAGGATTCAAAACTTTTTAAAAAGAAGGGAGTACAAGATGACACAGAGAATTCCATCTCTCCAAGAGCTTCTGTATGTATGAATTTAATGTTTCTCTACAGTACTTACTATATAATAACTGTTGACATGCTAGGAAATTGTCTGATTATTTGAATGAAATAAAGGGGTAAAGTAGAAAAAACAGTGAGTTCAGAGTAAAAAGGTAAGTGTTGTAGCCCCATTTATGCTCTTCATTTAGTGGTGTACTTGGGCAAGTCCCTTAAACTTTAAAAATTTTTTAATTAAAAATTTAATTTTTCATTTAAATCTCATTTGTGAACTGATGGAATTTGGATGTAATAATCACTAAGGTCCTCCAGTATTCTAGATCACTCCAGTATTCTAGATCTGATTTGTTTAGCAAATAAAGTTGTTTCACTTTATTTGGCTCTTCATTTCACTTTTGAATTTATTACTTTGGTATCACCAGTATGACACCTGCATTATTTCCTACCTTGGATTTCTCTAGGTAGATTCTTCCACATTTAAGCCCTGAAGTCTGTTTGACAACTGGTGTCACGAATTCTTTGACATTTTATTGGATTTTGATAAGACCAAGTAATTTAATAATAAAGGGTTGTTTAGGATTAAAACATAAAGATTCATCACAAAGAATCCTTGCTCATTATTTTAAGCTTTACTAATAAAATTGCTAATATCTAGTGTTATTACAAATAAGCAAAACTAATTATCCTAAATAGAAACTCATTTCTTACTATATTAAAAGCAATAAAAATGCTAAAAAGCAAGCTAGTTCAAAAATTGACTTAAAGGCATGGTTGCTAGTTGGAGGCTATTTTGCCTCCCAGGGGTTATTAGGCAACATCTGGAGACATTTCAGTTGTTGCAAGTAGAGAGAATGCTCCTGCCATCTAGTGCGTGGAGGTCAGGGATGTTACTAAACATACAATGCCCAGGACAGTCCTCCACGGCTACCCATAGCACTGAGGCTGGAAATCCTGATTCAGATTAAGTGTGACATGGCTCTGCAGTAGTCACAGGAACTTTAGGCACCGAGAGATTAAGGTATGTGGATAGGCCTTTTGTCCTGAATTGCTAATCTAAATCCTTGACTCCTGGAGTACTTGGTGTGTCCATTTCTAGTCACTGTCCATCCTTGAAGCCTCTGTTCACTTCTTACTCTGTTCCCAGTGCTGGCTCACCCTCCTCTTCTGTGCTTCCTACCTGCCTCCCCACATTCCAGCCTCCAAGTCCTGATGGCTGCTCCTTGATTATTAGGTGTTGCCAATTGGTTGGAGCTCTCAGAGGTGCATAGTGGGAACTTCCTAGAACAAATGGGCATTGTTCTAGATGATTTTAAAGCTTCCAAATATCTAAAATTGATCCCCTGCCCCCACTTGGGAAAACCTCCCTTTGTCATTCCCTCTCAGGCGCTTTGGACATTGGTCACCCCTTTGTAAAGTACAGTAATGAAGATGAGAAATCATTTATAATACATGTTTGGAACATGAGCAACATACAGCAATGAATTAAGATGGGGGGGCTCTAAGTTCAGAAGGACACAAGTTTGAATCCCACTTCTGCCAAAACGTAATGGAGTTAAAGCAAATATTTAATTTCCTAGGTCTCCATTCTCACATCTGTAAAACAGAAGTAAGAATAACTCCTCTTTGGCTTTTTGGGAGAATCAAATAAGATAATGTGTATAAAGTATTTGGCATAGTGCCTGGAACATAATACGTATTCCATAAATATTAGCCACTGTTATTTATTATTTTTCAACCATTAAGATAATGTTTATAACATTTTTGAAGACATAGACACCACTGGTAATATAATTTGCAATGAAAAATTCAGAGCGCAAAACTATTTTCTATAATGGGTATAGAAAGAAAAAGAAAAGTTGAAAATTGGCATGCCAAATATTAATAGAGGATGGTGGGATTGTGAATGATTTTTTAAATTTTGTGTGTGCACTTCTTACGTTATGGAATGTGCAAGACAGATTTCCAAAATTAAAAATTTAATAGTATTAAATGATATCAGATGTTTCTCTTAACTTACATTTAGCATTAGGCTAGACCTTTAACATTATTAAATGGCAAGATAACCATCATTTTCATGTTGTTTAGGCTACTGAAAATAAAGATGAGAATGAATTTTTAGATCCTGTTTCCCTAAATTCTCGAGAATATTTCAACATTCATCTCTGGTTGAGGTGCCGCTTAGCACTGGTGACTGCTTTTGTTGCACAGATTCATGGCATTGGAATCGTGACAGGTACAAATATCCTATTTTCTTAATCCAAGTTTTCATAAAAATTAATTTTACTCAGGTAATGGAGGTTTTATTGAGATCCATTTTATTACTAACATTTTCTAACTTTAATAGCTTGATCTGTTTCCAGAATAAAAAATTGATGTCATTAACCAAGAATAATCATGTCTGTAGTCCCTTGAATCACTGATGTGTGGCATATATGTTTCTGATGTATGGAGAGCAGGTGAGGCGATTTCAAAATGCTAACATGCAGTTCTTCTTGTCATTGAGGGAGGCAGCATAGTGTAGGGGTCCTGAGCACAGACTTTGGCTCCAGGTACTTGATCTGGGTTCAAATGTTTGGTCCACCACTTTCTCCCTGTGTGATCTTGACCAAGTCCCTTAATCCCCCTATGCCTCAGTTTCCTTCTTGGCAAAAATGGAAATAATTTTACCTACTTCTTAGGGCTATTGGCAGTCTTAATTGGGTTAAATTTATAAAGTTTTAGATGATAGCCTGGCACATACACATGTTAGTTCTTACAGCGATTAAGAATTCTCTATTTGGAAATCTACCTATCCACCCATCTCTGTCCATCTTCCACATTAATTTTTTTTTCACGTAGCATCATTACTTTTGCAGCACTGGGTTACCCTAAAGTACTTTCTCCCAAATTGCAACACATTTATTTTTCATGTTTTGTGTAGAGTCTGTTTTCCAACTTTATATCTTCCTATTCTTCTGTATTATACAATATTCCTGTGATGGATGGATATTGGGGGTGTTATGCATATGTAAATTTGCTTTCCTAGGGGTATTTTAGATAACTGCATTTATTTACTTTAGAAAACGATATGATAGATTACGTCAGCCTCATCAATGAAGTGTGTGAGGAGGCAAAAAGTGCAGGCGACAGGGAGCTACAGGCTGAGTTCTTGATGCAAGCTGTAATCATTGGCCTACAAGAAAAGCATCTAAAGACAGATATCATAACCAAGCTTCAGGTAGGAAAGAAACCTCTTTCACATTGATATTTACCTAATGATTCTGATTAGAGCAAAAGGAGAGAATTTTAAATTCCCTTAGGTGCTAAATGCATAACAGTTTGGCCAGCTCTTGTTTCAGTGAATTGGAAATGGGACTATCAAAAGGAATAATTTTATTTTAATAGGCGATAATACATTTGCTAGAAGAAAGTGAATTTATTTCTCCTCGATCTCATTTAACCCTGGTGAGAAGCATGCTTTTATTGGATGACTTAACAAAAGCTGAGAAATTCAAGGAAACGTCTTTAAAAACAGAAAAATTACATTTGTTGATTCAGTCTCACAACATTCTTATTGAACAGGTGAGCATGCTTTTGTGTCCTTAAGACCTAGAAACTTATTTCTGTGTCTTCTTATTCTAAACCACATTAGCTAGTTACTAACTACAGTGTTCCTTTTACAGATGCTGACTTTTGGAGAAACAATTGAATTTCCTTTATCAAACACTGACTATGCAAGTCCATTACAGCCTTTGAAAAATATCTATCTTCCTCATGTCATGTTATTGGCCAAAACCAAAATGAGAATTGGTAAGAACATTTAAATACATATTACACTCAAGTCACTGATGAAAAATTTTTATTTTCAGGCACGTTGTCAGAGGAGTGCCTTCAAATGGGATAATATTTATGAATACCAGGCTTCATTTATTTTAACATGTGCCAGACTCTGTGTGGGGTCCTAGGAAGTTACTGGAGATTAAAAGGTTATAGTCCCTGGTCTTAGTGTGGGAGACAGAAATAAGCAAGTAAACATACCATATGGAGAAGGGCATATTATATTATAAATATTGTATGAAAACTTTTAACATTTATGAAATATTTCTAGAATTTTATAAACATTTATAAAATTTAATAAGATAAATATTGTATAAGATAAAATGTTTATTTGATAACTACCAGACAGAAAATCAGTGAGGATAAAAAAGGCTTATATATAGTAATGAATTATATATAGGTATGTAATTATAAATTGTCAGTGTTATGAAAGATGTGGATGAATTCTGCTGATAAAGAGTAATGAAGGGAGGGGGGCCTATTTAGATAGAGTCACTGGGGAAGAGCTTTCTGGGGAAGTGGTATTTAACCCTAAACCTTAAATTGCAAGTGACTAGTTCTGCACAGTGGAGGCAGAGAGAGCCTTGAGTGGTAGGTTTTGAGATTCGGTTGAGCGTGACCTATTCTAGAACTGTGGGAGACCAATACAGCCTGATCAGAGTGGACTAGGGACCACCTCATGGGAGGAGGTGAGCTGGGATGTTTTATGTTTCAGATTACCCTGGCTGCTGGCTGAAGACTAGATTGTAGGGTAACCTGGAACCAACCGCAAGTAGACCTCATGGGAGTTGTTGGAGCAGGAAACCAGAGGCATACAGCTCTTGGGAACCAAGGTGGAGCCATCTGGTGCTGTCCTTCTCAGGAGCTGACAGATCGCTTCAGTCTTTCTCTAGGACACAGTCTCTGGGCTTTGACTCAAGGCTTGCCTCCCTCTACCTCCCCAGCTTTTGCCCAGCTCAAGAGGGCAGAAAATCTCTGTGTTCTAACCCTATATTAATCATGCCTCTTTCATTTCTGTATTTCTGATGCTTTGACATCTAGGGCTATGCTGATCAGGGAGGGACTTCCCAAGGCTAGCAGGTTCCTAGAAATTAGCAAACCGCTATCCTCTAAGCATGCCTTTTACATGCTAACTGTTCCAGAACCCATCCTCTGAACCTTTATTGGACTCCCTTATTGTCCTTTGCTGGGCTCTGACACGCTGAACCACTATTTTTCTCCCCTAATCACCCTGGGGACAGGTATCAGACTCCTAGCAGAGCCCACTGAAATTATTCAAACTCGTTAATCCTAAACCTGTTTGGCCTGCTTACCCTAACCTAATCATCCCCTCCTACAAAATTCAGAATAAAGGTTCTTATCCACATTTTCCCCTTGCTCCCTCCACCTCCTGACTGACTTTTTTGCTTTTCTATGTGGTGTAGTGTGCCCCATCCTCTGGGAAGTGTAACAGTCTTTTCAGTGGTGGTTGTCACTGGGCCTGTTCACCTTATCACACCTGAACATTAAAAAAACCTGCATTTTAAAACATTGCCCTTCACCTCCTGGGGCCCATTTGCTTCCTGTACCAGGGGCTGCTCAGTTCAGGAGAGGCTGATGATTGGACCAGAACAGAAAAGAGAGGGCAACAGAGGTGTGGCCAAACCATCGTCTGTCCAGAATCTTCTCCCTAATGTCCTTTCTGCTGCACATTCCCCTCATTATTATTGATCATTATTATTATAAGATTTTTCATCATCATCATCATCAGAGAGGAATTTTTCTACTTTGGGTAAATCGCATCACCTCTACATTGTTGAAATTCGAGTGGCCTAGCTGACCTCTAGAATTCCTTCCAGCAATCTGATCGCTGGAGAGCTATTTTTGTGCATTTCTAGTCCACAATTTGTTATATTAATCAGTATATTCAATTGCCACAAGAGCTTAAAATATAGATTGTGTTAAATTGTACAGATTGTGTTAAATCAAATGTATTCTCTGCTTTCATGACTCCCTAATCTTGAAGATGTGTCACCACTCAGTGACAATAGTGCCACCGTTTTTTAGACTCACTTGAGGCAGAACAGCTTGCTTTCTGTTATATTATATTAAATACAGACTTAAAAAACAAAACCAAAAGCAGATTTTCTGTCAAAACAACATCAGTTTCACAACTTCTTTTTCACAGAGTTGATGTTTATTGGAAACAGGAGCACTTCAATATTATGAGGCATAAAATCATCTGATTTGATGCTTTCTCAACAGTTTTCCTTTATAGTGAGCCTATATATTGCATCACAAGAATATAGCCACTTAAATAATTGTTTTTTCTTTGTGAAAGCCTCTGACAGAAAAAGTCATTTTGAAATTGTTTTTATAAAACCCAAAATAAACGTCATGGTTATTTGAGATCATTTTCCCCCTTAATGACAAAACCTTGAGCTTTCCCATAATGAAAACATGGATTACTGATTGATTGTATAATAGGTGTGAAAAAAGCTGCAAGAATGATGCTTGGGAGGGGGATATAAGAGGGAGCCATCTCTGCCCTCAGAGAGCGTGTTATCAAGCTAAGGAAACAGAGAAAGAAAACTGTTGGTAATTTCTGTAATAGGTCTCTTCCTAATTTTCACAAAAATCTAGAAGACAAATCTAGAAGTATTTTTAGTACATATTAATACTTTATTATATATATAGTATATTTTTCCATATATAGTACCTATATATATATGTATATATATGTATATACCTGCTTAAATTACATGAAGATACTTGATATTATTGTCTTATATTAATAAAAAGCTGTAGTATAATTTGAAACAAGAAGTGAGACACATAAAAATGGGAGCTGTGTTGAAATATGAAGTTGTATTGGACGGATGATGTTAGCATATCCTTGCCTGGGATCTACTCACAATTGGTCACTGCTGGGATGAAGAACATGGACTCTGGAGAAAGATTTCTGGTCCATTTTCCTTGAGCGGGTCACTTTAACTCCTCTGGGCTTTAGTTTCCTCTCTCATAAAATGTGGTTCAGAAAAGTAGCAATCTCACTGGCTTATTGTGGGATGAATGAGTGTGTATCTTGTTTGAAGGGCATCTAGTTTGTTCTAACAGCATTGTAGGTACTAGTGATTCTCACTGCTCCATGGCTGACCTCCTTGCTCTCCTGGGAGCACCCTGGAAGCAAGGCTCAGTTTCTTCATCTCCATCTTCTTCACAGCATGCCACCAACCTGCCTTGTCCAGAGTCAGGGCTCTGTAACATCTCCCTGGATAAGAGCGAGAGAAAGAGGGAGAGATACACTTTTCACACCATCTTTCCTTTCATTCCTCAACTAAAAATTTATAAAAATTTTTAGTTGAGGTTTCTTGAAAACTCTTTGCAGGGCATAGCATTTTGGAATTGAAACATTTCAGAACTCAAAGAGACCTTACATCTTTTTTAGTTCTATTGCCTCATTTTTCAGAGGAAGACACTCAAGACCCCGAGACATGTTGGGATTTGTTCAAGTCCTCAAATGACATGGTAGTGCTCGTGACCAGCTCAGACCCAGCACTTCAGCTGGAACCCAGTAGCTATATCAGTCTGCAATCCTGCACTACCTTCCTGTTTATATTTCTCCACTGTGCTGTTCAACTTTCCTCTCAATGAGTATTTCCCCCACTGCCTTCTACTCTTTATCCCAACATTTTCCTTTTTTAAAATTACCAAAAGACAAGGTGATCATCAGCGGCCAGCCCCAATGGCCAAATTCTCTGGGAAGCCTTCCCTAGCCTTTCTGGGGTCTGGGCGAAGGCCCCTGCAACCTGCCACCACATCATCCTGTGCTTTCCCTGCCACACAGTTGAGCACACAGTATTTTAACTGTCACTCAGGCCATTCTCATTCGCCATTGAACACTAAGCTCCACAGTCTGACTCTTGTCATTGTTTAGAGTGTGTGTCCTGGAGCCAGGCTTGACTCAGTTCTGATTACAGCCCAGCTACTTACTAGTCACATGAATTTGGACAAATTACTTAAGCCTCACTGTGCCACTGCTTTCTCCTCCGTAAAGGCAGTGTACTAATGAAATCCAGCCAGAGTTGGGAGGATTGCATGAGAAAATGCTTAAGTCCTTGGAGGGGTATCTGGATTGTAGGAAGCACTTAAGAAACCTGAGCTCTTATTTTTCTCTTTTCTCATTGTTTTCCAATGCCTCCATATTATCCAGCACTCAGAAAATATATGCTAAATAGCTATCTGTCTGTCTGTCTGTGAGGGTACACAGATTAAATCTAATGCCTCTTCAACAATACAACAGTCCTTCATTATGTTAAGTGATGATGGGACCACACAAGAAGCCCTTATCCACATGGCTTTTGCCATCTAGTTGCAGTGACAAAATATGCATAGCAAGCAACCACTAATAGAGCTGAAAAGAAACAAAATTACTGCCTATTAATATATGCAAATTTTTATTGGGAACAATATAAAACTTCATAAAACTTCCAGATGTTTCCCTGCTAACAACCTCATCTTAAGAACACAGTTGTTTTGTAGAACGTAATGAAATTTTAAGAACTGAATGAGACTTGAGAAATTATCCTTCATTTTAAAAATGAGAAAATGTCAAAATTTATCAAAGATAAAGTTGCTTTATCTTTACCAAAGATAAAGTTACAACTACTGTTGTAGTGCATTGAAATATTTGGGTACTGAATTTTAAGAAAATATTTCTTTGATGCTAAAAAGCAAAGACTAGCAGAGTTCTTAATAGAACTGATGGTGAGAAAAGTCTGAGTATCTTGGAGTCTTATTATGAACAACCTATTCCTTATAGGACATACAGTGGCCAAACAAGTATATTATACCAGTAAAAAGAAGGATCCCTCAAAGTGGTTCCCTGCCCTTCATCTTTTTGAAATAGCACTGAAGCTCTGTCAGGTATCAGCAACAGAAGAACATGAGGTAGAAGCTGAAATTCTTTTTCAGAAAGGTAAGATGTACTTGGGGTCAGAACTATGATAACGTTTATGGAATTTTTTTTTCCTGTTAAGGATAGATTTCTTGAAAACCTGGTCAGTGACTATAAAAAAATACAGGTTTTACACAGGGCTTAGTGATGCAAAGACATTGATACCCCTGCCAGACTCAGTTTGGGATAAAGAGAACACTGCTTATTTTAAGTTTATATCAAGAAAGGGAAAAAGTACTGCCTCTTAGTTTTTTTTATAATTATAATTGACCCTCAGGCAAAATTTCATGTTTGACTCAAAAATGTCCTCGTCAGCCATTTAGCTACAAATAATGTTTCTTAAATAATTCTTAAATAATGGAAGACATCTTTTAAGCATAATTTCATTCCTTAGGTAGGCATTTTAGTTAATTTCTATAAAAGATACATACCCATTTAAATTAAATAGCTATATTTATAAGTTACATACAATACATGTTTGTATCATATGGTCATATAATTTTATTGTGGCCGTTTTGGCCATGAGAAGACTGATGATGATGATTGCTATCATTTGTTGATCATCAGTTAGATGAAAGGCTCTGTAGTTGTCAATGTTTAACATCTCATACTGCTAATTCTTACAATAGCTCTACAGGACAGGCATGGCTAATCCTAGTTGATAGCTGAGGAAAATGAGGTACAGTCTGGCTGAGTAACTTTCTCTAGGTCAGCAGCTTCTAAATGATAGTAGCCAGATGTGAACTTAACACCGGGAGGCTCTGTGCCCTATGTGCAGCCCTTCACATGCTGCAGGAAAACTGTGAATCCTTTTCATATTGATAAAAGATTTCCCTTTCTTGCCCTTCTGGCTGCAGAAGTGCCATTCCAGTGAAGGCTGTGGCTCACCATTAGGTCTGAGAGCTGTGTGAGCCCTAAAGCATTTGCATCATTTGCAATTGTTTTCAAGTGTTGTTGACTTTTTAGGCATTATTTTAACAGAGTTGTTTTCTGTGATATCTGCAATACTAGACAGAGGAAAGAGGACATGGATGTAGACAAACGGAATTAGCCCTATAGAGGAAAGGAAAGTACAAAGGAAGGAAGTAGAAGAATAAGATGGTAGGAACATTTGTGTCTGGAAAGCCAAAGGAGGCTTTGACTCTGTTTCTCACTAAACGCAGAGTGAGGCTGGAGGCTCCTGGGGAAGGAAGCAAAGGATCTTTCACTTTTAGCTGACCTTACTGCAAAAACAACAGACAGATGGGCAAAAAGAATAGCACATCCAATTTTCTGAAGTTCTGGCATGAAATATTTATTCTGAAGTTCTGAATGATAGAAAAAGGAAAAAACCATATATATATATATATATATATATTTTTTTTTATTATTCTTTCAGGCAAAATAGAACGTCAAATATTGATGGAAGAGAAATCTCCAAGTTCACAACTTGGGAGTTTATTTGAAGCTATACAGCTAAGCTTGAGAAATGATCAAAACTCAGGGTAAAAAGAAAATCTTTCCATTATTATAACTATATGTGTTTTGATTTAAGCCCTATGTTTTCGTAGTACATTGAACATTCAAGGCTGGGATGACTGGGAGACCCCCTTCCCACCACAGGGCTCATTCACTGGGGTTCATTGTCCAGCAGGTTTACTGACTTCCTTTTCAAGTTCGTTGACCTTGGCTCTGACCAAGGCTTGTTTTTACAGTGATGGTTGATGATGGCAGTTATCATGGTGGCATACTAGACTGTGAATTTACTTTTAGTCTTTACTCACACCGATCTCCTGTCTATCCCAGGATTCTAGCAGCCTCCCATGGATGTGAAATTGTATCTAGAAAGGATTTGTGTGGATGTTCACTCTGTCAGCAGGACCAAGGCTGGCCAACTTAATTCTATATAAAAATCATCTTAAGAATGGGTATACGCCAGTATTATTACAACTACGCTGATTTAAATGGCCCCAACTGACAGGTTGGATAGTGAATACACAGACCTAATCCATACCAAATCACTGCTTTCTGCATGACTCTGTGTGTCTCTTTCCACTTTAGTGTAGGAGGATAGAAAGAAAGGTCTGGTTTGCAAGGCAGGTTCCTTAAGACCCGATTTTCACTTCTTTAGTGCTTTGTGTGCTGGACTATTCTAGAATAGTCTTGATGCTGGGCTTCAGAGAGTGTTGCCAGCACAGGACAAAGTTGAATGTCTCTTCAATATCTTTCAGTTTCAGTAGGGAGGATGGTATTGGTGTCTATGCTAACAGTGCTATGAAAAGAAGGTGTGAGTCTGGGGGACAGGTACTAGTTTTGTCTATTTTTACCTTTTATTAGCTCAGAAATTGTGGGAAATGATGCAAAATGATTATGAATGGTGAAGCTACTTAATAAGTACAATGTTACATCATTTTAGGTTGATAAGAGACTCCTACTTAGAAATGGCCCTATTATTTTTACATATGAGGAAGCCAAAAGCCAAACTTTCAACATCACCATTAACACTTAAGGTAATAAACTATTTTATTATAAATCTTAATTGTCTTTGAACTTGCTATTTTGGTAACTCTGTGCTAGAACTAATGAGACTGATTTTCCTGTATGACTTGGAGAAATTAATTCGCTACTTTATAGTCACACTCATGTTTAAATACTTCTTTGGATACTTTATATAAGGCTCTGGAAATAGAGTCCATGTGGACATTTTTACCTGTTAAAATGTTATACATGAAATGTAGGTATGTGTAAATACTCTAAGTTATTCATATTAATCAGGAAATTACAAGAAATGATATATTGGTTAAGCAGATGGACAAAGAAGATTTTCATCAAGGATATGATGTACAAACAGATCACCTTTTGAAAGACTCATTCATTTATTCATCACATACCTACTGAATATCTACTGTGACCCAGACAATATTCCGGAAGGTTATGAAGCAGTGATTAAGACAAACTTAGTCCTTGTTCTCATGGGGCTTACCTTTTAGTAGAGGGAGACAGACAATAAACCAGTGAAGGAAGAAGCAAGAGGACGAAAGGTGGGAAGGAGGGAGGAAGGGAGGGGAGAGAAGGAAGGGGGGATGATTTAGGTGGTGAAATTGGGGATTAGGAAAGAACATGGGTCTGTGGGACTGTGAATGACTCTGTTGGGAAACATAAGGTTCAAGGTGGGATTTGTTGGATGAGGAGAGTCGCAGAGGCACGTCATTGGCATCATGCATCTGTTTAGAGCAGTCCTTCCAAACTGAGGGGCAGAAGCACCTCTGGGGATCCTGTGAAAATACAGAATCCAATTTGGTATGTTGAGGTTGAGGTCTTGAAGTTTGATATTTCTAAGGAACTCCAGGTTAATACTGCTACTGCTGGTCTGGGGGCCACACTTGAATTCCAGGGATCTAGACTGAGGGAGATCCTGTGGGCAGGATGTGGGTACATTGGAGATAGATGAGCCCAGTAAATCGTAGTTTTTACTTTTTAAATTTCAGTAGGCTTTTTATAAGTCATTGCAATTAAGTAATCCTTTGACCCAGCAAGAGATTTTTTTTAGAAAGTTTTGGTGTCAAATCTCTAATTTTTGAGACAGCACAGACGTGATTTAAACCTTTAGGCCAACAGGCTTTTAATTAGTTGAATTATTCACATGGTAGCCACTTAGGTAGATATAGCAGCTATTATTTTATTTTATTTTTTATCAAAATGATTACATAGAAAAGCTACTTTTTATGGTGTGATAAACATGTTTATTTCTAGTAAGAGAAAATGAAAATCTTTGTTTCTATGGCAAGTAGCAATGCAAATTGATAGGATGCTAGGATAATAATATATCAACTTTTTGGCCTTTACTAGAGAAGTATTCATACTTAAGAACTTGAATAAGGTAGAATTTGAATGAAAAAATAATTCCATATAATATCACATTAATTTTGTATAATGTAATATAAATATTTTAGCAAGTCATACAATTAATGGAAACACAGAAAACAGCCAACGACAAATAAGAATTTATCCAGACACATTCAGCCATTGAAATTATCACATTAGAAGTTTGTCCTAATAAAGGCATGCTTTATAAACCCTTAAAAAAAAACCCACTATTGCTTCACTTTTATGGAGAGTCCACAGAGCAAAGTGACCAGAGCACTGGTTTGGGTTTGAATCCTAGCTTCACGACATACCAGCAGGATAATTGGGGCCTTTCTAAGCCTAATTTCCTCATCTGTGAGGTGGAGATGAGAACATTGACCTCTTAGAGTAGGAGAATTAAACAAGATAATGGGCATGGCACATAATAAGTACTCAAAAAAGAGGTGTACCATTTTCTATCAATATGTGACTTTGGCTAAACATTCACATTTTATCTTTCTAGAGTCTTTTGTACATAGTAGGTGTTCAATAATTATTTTTTTTAGTTAAATGGAATTGACTATTTCATGAATATGTATTCATTCATTAACCAAATACTTATTGAGTGCCTAATGTATGCCAGGCATGTTACTCTCTTTCCCTAAGAAGCACAGACGAGCAAGGGAGAGAAATAATTATATCAAAATCCAATGAGGACGATAATCAAGATATGTCAATATTTTGGAAGTGGAATAAAGTGGGAACTAATTCTGCTTTGGGAGAATACTGGAGAAAGCTTCACAGATGAAATGAATTCTAAGGAATGACTAGATGTTTTCCAAGTAGTTAGGCAGGGGGAAAATAGTTCAAAGAAAGAGATTAGCAAGCACACATATTAAAAATAGATGTATTGAGGTGCAATTTACATGCATGAAATTAAACTATTTTAAGAGCGCAGTTCACAGATGTTTGGTAACTTACAGAGCTGTGGAGCTAGCATCACCATCCAATTTTAGAACACTCCCATATTCCAAGAAGATCCCTAGTGCCCATTCGCAATCATTTCCATTTCTACCCCTAGACCCAAGCAACCACTAATTTGTTTTTTTACCTCCATAGATTGGCCCTTTCTGGGTATTTCCTATAATGGAATTTCATATAAATGGAACCATACAATATATAGTCTTCTGTGCCTGGCTTTTTCACTTAGTGTTATGTTCTTGAGGTTCACTTATGTTGTAACATGTAACAGAAGTTTGTTCCTTTTTATTGCTGAATAAAAAAGTAGTCCTTTATGGGGAGATGGAGAGGAGAAGGGAGTTGAGGGAAATTGGAAGGGGAGAGGAACCACGAGAGACTATGGACTCAGAAAAACAATCTGAGGGTTTTGAAGGGGTGGGGTGGGAGGTTGGGGGAGCCAGGTGGTGGGTATTACAGAGGGCACATATTGCATGGAGCACTGGGTGTGGTGCATAAACAATGAATTCTGTTACACTGAAAAGAAAAAAAAAAGACAAATGGAAAAAAAAAAGTAGTCCTTTTTTCAGATATACAGTATTTTTTTTTACCCATTCAGCAGTTGATGGATGGATATATGAATTGCTTCCACTTTTTGGATATTTTGATTAATACTGCTTTGAACATTTATATACAAGTTCTTAAGTATATGTTTTCAGTTCTCTTGGGTGTATATCTAAGAATGGGATTGCTGGATCATATGCTAACTCTATGTTTAACCTTTTGATGATCTGTCAGATTGTTTTCCAAAGTGCCTGTGCCATTTTGTATTCCTTTGAGCCGTGAATAAGAGTTCCGTTTCTCCATAGCCTGGCCATCACTTGTTATTATCTCTATCATTGATTGTAGCCATCCAAGTTGTTATAAAGTGTATCTCATTGTAGCTATGGTGTGCACTTCCCAGCTGTCCAATGATACTGAGATCTTTTCATGTGCTTACTGATCATTTCTGTATCTTCTTTGGGGAAATGTTTATTCAGATCTTTTGCCCATAACCTAAACTAAAATGGCTTTTTTTTTATCACAAGGTTTTTAAAATGTATATTCAAGATTCAAGTCCTTTATCAGATATTTGATTTGCAAATATATCCTCCAGTTGATGGCTTGTCTTTTCATGTTGTTAATAGTGTCTTTGGAGACAAAGTTTTAAATTTTAATGAATTCCAGTTTATCATTTTTCTTTTTTTATATATCGTGCTTTTGTTGCATGTCTAAGAATTCTTTGCCTAACCCCAGGTGTTGAAGCTTTTCTTCTATGTTTTCCTTTAGAAGTTTTATAGTTGTAACTTTTATGTTTATGTATGATCCATGAATTAACATTTGTGTAAAGTGTGCAAAGATCTAAATTCTTTTTTTTGCACATAGCATCCAGTTTTCCCAATACCAGTTGTTCAAGAGACTGTCTTTTCTTCATTGAATTGCCTTGGTACACCATTGTCAAAAACTAATTGATCATAAATGTAAATGTTTATTCCTAGACTCCCAATCCTATTCCATTAATCTACAAGTCTGTCTTAATAGGAATATCTACCCTCTTGGTTATTGTAGCTTTCAGTTAGCTTTGAAATTGGAAAGTACATGTCTTCCAACTATGTTCTTTCTTTCCAAAATCATTTTAGCTACTCTGAGTCCTTTGCATTTTCATATACATTTTAGTAGCTGCTTGTCAATTTCTGCAAAAAACTAACAGAATTTTGATAGGGATTGTGTTAAATCTGTAAATCAATTTGGGGACAATAGCCATCTTAACAATATTGGATCTTCCAATTCATGAATATGAGCTGTCCCTTCATTTATTTAGAAATTAATGTCTCTCATTAATGCTCTTTACTTTTCATTGTATAAATTTTGTACATTTTTGTTAAGCCTATTTCTATTGTGAGTGGGATATTTTCTTCATTTTCAGATCACTTATTGATGATATGTGGAAATACAATTGATTTATGAATATTGAGTTTTATGTCCTACAGCCTTGTTATGTACATTTATTAATTCTAGAGTTGTGTGTATGTGTGTGTCTTGGGATTTCCTAAATATAGGATCATGTCTTCTGCAAACATACAATTTTACTTCCTCATTTAGGATCTAGATTCATTTTCCTCTTTTTCTTGTTTGTTTGCATGAGTTAGAATCTCATATGCAGTGTTAAACACCTTCTCCATCTAAAAAAAAAAATACCCTTTATGTTCTTCTGTCTACATTTTTCCATTCTGAATCAAGCCCAACCTTCTTAATAAGGCCCCCCTCTCAATTCAAAATGAGCTTTCTTTTTTAAATGTTTGTGTCACTAATTGTTCTTACATTATAAATATTTAATATTATTATGTATCCTTCATTTAATGTCTGCTGGTCTTGTTTCCAGAATTTAAGTAAATTTCCCAAACTTACATAGCCAGTAAGCTGGCAAGGGTTACCCAAGAACCTAAGTGGTTTCATTTTCGCTAATACCTAGGGTCTTCCTATCTTGGGACAGGCCTGTGTTGCATAGATTCTCCAGACTTCTCTGGTTTCATCCACCTCCAACCAATCTTAGCACTTGATCTAGGCCAGACCACATTTGCACATTGTATTCCCTGCTCTGGCATCAGCATTATTTATTGACTTTCTTTTTCTTGGGGAGTCTTGTAGCCAAAAGTAAAAGAAGTGTATCTTCTGTTATTGTTAGTTTTATTCTGTAGTCTTGTTGAAGATCAAAGAATTGGCCAAAATATGAGCATCAAAAAATTAGAACCAAGCAGTCTAATTGAGTAGTTTTGTCCAGATTAGTTAAATCTTAATAACTGACTGTAAATTCTTATTTTAGTTAACTTTAAAAATGTAAAATAGGCAAGTACTATGTTACTAGTGGAGTTTCTTTCTGTTAACTTTTGTAGCATTAATTTTTTTATGTTTCCTGGTGGTGGGTATTGCATGGAGCCCTGGGTGTGGTGCATAAACAATGAATCTTGGAACACTGAAAAAATTAAAAAAAAATAATCCATGTAAAATGCTCAGTGAAGTGCATGATACAAAGTGCTAATTCAGTGCCACTGATTAGTCATTCATATTATCATTATTGATTTGTATTGATAATCAATAAATATATGTTAATTGAAAAAAAACTGGACATACACACACAAAACTGAACACACACACAGTAAAATTATCTCCATTCATTGTTGCTTTTGCTATTCTGTGGAACTTTAAAATTACATTGTCCCTTTAACAGTTTCCCAGTTAAAAAGATGACAGCAAGTACCTATCAAAAATCTTTTAAAAAAATTTTTTTTTAAAGATTTTATTTATTTATTAGACAGAGATCACAAATAGGCAGAGAGGCAGGCAGAGAGAGAGGAAGGGAAGCAGGCTCCCCACTGAGCAGAGAGCCCGACGCGGGGCTCGATCCCAGGACCCTGGGATCACAACCCGAGCCGAAGGCAGAGGCTCTAACCCACTGAGCCACCCAGGCGCCCCCCTATCAAAAATCTTTACATAATGTTCTTATTTCTGACATCCTTACACATGATATATTCAACTTATAAATCCTCTGTTGAAATGGCAAATATCATTTTAAGTAAATACTTTCCTTAAAATGCCATTTGTGTTTATTTTACTGTTACTCAAATAATGCAAGCTCATCATAAAAAATTAGAAAAGATCATAAAGATAATCACTTTTAAAACCCAGGGTAGGGCGCCTGGGTGGCTCAGTGGGTTAAGCCGCTGCCTTCGGCTCAGGTCATGATCTCAGGGTCCTGGGATCGAGTCCCACATTGGGCTCTCTGCTCAGCGGGGAGCCTGCTTCCCTCTCTCTCTCTCTCTCTCTCTCTGCCTGCCTCTCTGTCTACTTGTGATCTCTCTCTGTCAAATAAATAAATAAATAAATCTTTAAAAAAAAAAAAACCCAGGGTAACCACTGTTAATAATTTTCTCTGCTTGTTTGTACAGGGAGTATATGTGTGTACTTGTCTTTTTAAAAATGGGATCATACTTTGCATACTATTTTATAACCTCCACTTTCATTTCTCCCATACACTTTCAACATCTTTTCATGTAGATACATATACATTATTGTTTTTTAATATTATTATTCTTAATGGCTACATAGTGTTCCACTGAAATGTCGTCTTCAGAGGATGAGAAAATTTATCATGAAACTTCATGATATATTTATCTTTATCATAGTACATGCGCTATGTTTTTTAGGCTTCTGCCAGAAGGCATAGTTCTATTGAAGAACCAATGGTGAATAAATTTGAAATATACAGTTCACTGGCCTGGATTGTGATAAGAGCTGCTGCCCAGGTTGGTGTGATTTTTACTTGATCTTTCTCTTTACTGTTCACACTGTATCCTCTACCTGCCAGCTGTTAGGGCAGCACAATGTATCTCTATGAGAGAAAGGAAAATTCACATTCTTTTGGATTTATGCTGATGATGTTTCTTAGGAAGATTAGAAATGCTCCTTATATTATACATAATGTTTTCAATCTTTATTAGCCAGGCCTGGCTTTGTTTGTTTCAGCTTTCCTTTAATGAATGTATTGGCAAAAACATATGTGCACATTTTGATGTTTTGGCAAATATCTGTTGTAGCTAGAGCAGAGAGCCTATTTAAAGTGGCTCATACATTAATTAAATTGTCAACAGTAATGATATTTTTGACAATGATATATACTACATGTTGGGGATCATGTGTTGTTTTCCAGATTATTTTTTCTTCCAATGTATATTGAATATTGTTTTATGAATTTACTTTTTCAGATTATTTACCTAATGGATAATCTATGAATCAGAAAGCTTACATTTGTGGATTCTAATTATGCATTAATTTTAGGTCAGTGAAGCTGTGTTGGAAATGAATCTACTTATTGGAAAGAAGGATGCTAGAACTGATAAAGTTAGCCAAGGGGCATTACCAAACATCCCAGAATTTGCCACCGTGGATCTTCTGTCTTCATTCACAGATTATTTGCTTGGTATGTTTGAAATGTCTAGGCATTTTATAAAAACCTGGTATATTTAATGTTTAATCAAGTTGCAAAGTTTTAATTGTGGTGATTTGTTGGGTTTTAGCTTAGAGAGGATAATGGTGTGAAGAACCTCAGGGAGAGGTTAAGGTTCTTAGGGCCTAGCTTCCGGAACAAAGGAGTGTCATTTCATTGTATGTATGTACATGTTATTCAGTCAGCTCCTGCGTTTCAGATGCAGGGCTTGGTAACAAATGGTGTTCCCTTCTGTCTGCTTCTTTTTCAGTTCACACATGTCAAATGAGGCCTTTGGAAAATATTTACTTGTGGGTCCTTTCCTGATCCTTTAAACTGTGTCCTTGCTCTTGTACTCTCATGTAGTTCTCTGTGCTTTTTCTTATATTTTAAATGTGTGCATGTGTGTGTATGGCTGTGGACACAGGTGTACGTATTTGAGCTCCTTCTCTCATTAAACTATCATCAGCTTCATGAGGGAAGGGACTTTATTTTGTTTGCTGCCCTAACCACAGAAAATCATACATTATTTGCACATTACAAGCATTCTTATTTGTTAAGTGAATTAATGAATGAGAAGTTAGAATTTAAACTTGACCTCACTGCTATTTGCTTTTTCTCATTTAGAACTCCTTTGTTAATAAAATACAATCTAAACCTCTACATCAGATGAGCAGTAACATATTTAACATTCATTTATGTGTTTGTCCATTCATTTGAAAAATATTTATTGAGTACTCTTACATACTAAACACTTGGATAGATTCTAAGAAGTAAGGTGCTAGAGTCTTGCTTCCAGACTGACATTTCAGTAATAAGCATAATTAATTTTCCTTGGCACTAGGTGAAGCATTGAGCCAAAGGGAATAAAGAGTGGTCCTTGAACCTGGTGGGAGTGAGGGTGGTCTTTCTAAAGCCTCTGAGAACATATCTATAGGCAGCAGCTTTACTCTGTTGAAGTGTTAAGTCAACTTTAGCCAAAGGGTTAGTATCTGAAACCATCCCCTTCTTTGGCTTTCTTCCTTTCCAGCCTAAAAATGGATTGCCAGAGGTTAAACCATTAGATGGACTTTTTATGCCGAGCTGTCATTTTCTTATTTTATTGCTTTGATGCCTGGTGGGATTTTTGCTTCATCAATTACATCTAAAATTCTGTATTAATCAGTTATTACCAAAATTATGCCATATATCAAACAGCCCTAAAACTTAGTAGCTTACAACAAGAATTCGTTCTTTGACTTGTCTCATGTATTCGGCTTTAGTCTGTCACTTGAGTTCGGGTGTAGTCCATGTATGTTTATTATGAAGCCCCAGCTGAAGAGGCAGTGGCTGTTTGGGACATGCTCTTCTCACGCTGTACACCAGAGCAAAAGGGCCTAGCTAGATCATGGAAGCACATTCAAGGGCTCTCTCCACACCACATCCCATGGATCGTAACAAAACAGATGGCCAAGTCCAACATCAGTGAGGAACAGAAATCTACTCTATCCATAGAGAAGGAGAGGGGCAAGAATGTTTGCTGAACGATAATCTAGACTATCATACATGACAAGTTCAATCTGTGGCTGGTAGCAACCTAAGAGGAATTCTGAGTCACTACATGGAAAGACAGGAAAAGGTGTTCCAGTGATCGGGTAATGTTGTCACCCAGGGGCACATGCCGTGAGGAACAGCATCCCCTCTCCAAATGATCTGAGTTGATCCAGGTGAGCAAGTAGTCTTCATCTTAGCTATGCTTAATGCTACAGTGTCTGCTTTCTTTGCCTACTTCAGTGGTTTTCATAGCATATTCCGATTTTGTTTCTATTTTATACCATAAGCACTCCTTTACTGTTTTACCAAAATACTAAATTGAAATGACCAAATTTTGAAGTCCATGCTATTCTGCATTTTGCTTTGCCTTAAGGATAATAGTTTTGCCCTCCAGTATTTTCCTAGCAGACTGATAATTAATTCACGTTGATGGTTTCCCTTATTTCGGTATTTGGGTTGGAAGGAGGTACTGAATTCCCTCCTGATTGCTACAAATACCCAGACGGCAAGGAGGTTCGTATTATATGGAATTGCTAAAGGGCAACAGCAGCAAATAAAACTTGTTTGATTTTCCTTACATTAGCATAAATTAGCATGCAGGAGAAAACCCCAGTAATCTCACCCGTACTAGCATTGATCTATACATGAGGTGGTGATCGATAGTCATTGTTACTGTATGCAGAGCACTGTACCAGATGTTTATGTTCTGAGGGAAGGAGTAGTCATGGAACACATCAACAAAGTGAGTCCTACCTTCCATGAGCTTCTAGTCATTGACAATCAGAACAGGCATACACCTTGAAATTATATAAATGCATCTTTTAAGAGGACCATATTAATGGAGGCAGATTAAAGTGAAGCTAGACACAGGCAGGATGAGCATGTGAGTTAATTAGGAAGATTTTCTTCTGGAAGAAGTATACTGTAGTGCAGGTGTAAATAGATCAGAGACATGGGTTGCAGAGTGGAAAGAAAACACATTTTCCCAACAGAGTATTGATAATCAGAGGAGCATGATGTCAGAATAGACTAGTCATGTCTGTGTGCCAGAGAGCTACTGTATGATATCTGTGGGACAATACAGGAATTGAGTTATTCAGCTGGTCAGATTTATTGAGGTTTCCTCTCCATTGTCTTGTGGGTATAGAGACCCTGAAATGATGGTACTGTCAAATATAAGAACATATTTAGGTTCAGTGCAAAAGACATTTATTCACTGCCTACCTTGGCCATACTTGTATTAAAATATACTTATCTTTTTGTCTTGATTTTCTTGGGGCTTTGGTAAAAAATTCAGCTAGGATAAAAATTGTTAAATTCTACAAGACACTTTGAATTAAAAGTAACATTTAAGATTAATGGTTCTGGATGCAGCCTCTCACAACTACATACACTTGGTATATAGAAAAACATAAATATGTCATGCTAAAAGCTAATGTTGGTGAACTATTGTCAGAATATAAAGAGAGATCTGTAGAGCAGAACTAAGGATCACAACTGACCTTTAATATATGCTCTGCCACTTCAAAGAGAAAAACTTCCAGCCTAAAAAAAAATCTGATTTATTCTTTCTTTACTGCCTTGCCCCTGGTTCAGGTACATGGGGTCAATACCAACTAAAAACTGGGATGCTATTCCTCTACTACTATGTTGATTTCTTCTATTCCTTTGAGACACAACTGTCCATAGGGGGAGAACTAGGGGAATACATCCTCAACTCCCAAATTATTACACAACTTACAGATGATAATGGAGATAAATCATTTATGCTGATAGCAGTGATGTGTGTGTGTGTGTGCGTGTGTGTGCACATGCTCTCTATCAGTTTAGAGAATAAGCAGTTGAGACAATGGGGTATGATGACAACCATCCTCAGTGAAGCAGAGCTGTTCTGGTCCAACACCTGCAAGATTCTAGAAATTTCACTGAGAGTTCTGCACTTTGATCACTTAAATGTGAGAAGGAACAGTCCCATAACCAAGAGTGGAGCATACATTCTCCACCCTCTATTATCAGACACTAGGTGTGGAGATGTTCTTTATTCTAGACCGAGTCAACAATGAAAAATAAGAAGCAACAGATGCAATGGAATGCAGTCTTGCAGAGGAAGATTGACACTGCAGGGAAACAAAGGAAGTGTAACAAAATTGTTTGGAACTCTCAGCAGGGCCCAAATAATCAAAGACTGACACAACCATGGAAAGCCATAATGCAGCAAGTGCTAGATAATAGCGGGACCAGTGGCTTCTGGTGCTATGTGTTAGTGCTTTCTTATATGATTTCATTTAATCTTTAGGAAAATTCCATGAGAGTGTCATTATGCACATATAGTAAATGAAGAAAGGTCCTCAGAGAGGTTATGTAACTAGAATGATTTTCTACTGCTGATACAAACCCTGATCTATCCCATTCTAAAAGCTGTGCCCTTGATCACTGTGTTGGGTGTGATAGGAAAGTATTATCAGGAAATCAAAGTATTGGATTTGAGCTGACATGAAAGATGCTTTTGCCTTCCCAAATCCAAATGTGTAGCAAGGTTGGGTAAAACAGAACCAAAATTGTTTTAACTTATAGCTGAGCATGAAATCAGGAAAAGAAAATCTTAAGTTACCAAAATAAAATGAGGGATCATAAACAAGGGCTGAAGGTGAGGACCTCATTGGAGAGGGAAGAGCTGGGGCTGGGACTTTGAATGCCTGGTCAAAGAGGGCACCTGGAAGGAGGGCCGTGTAGGTAGGGCAGGTCAGAACCCAGCTAACTACATGGAGCTGAGGTGCAGAGTGGACTTGTCTACAAACTGAGGACTGGAAACACAATGCCTACTGGCTTGAGTGGATGCAGAGAAACATGTCAAGTGCCCAGTGAGGGCCAAAAATCAGCCACTTGGGAGAAGTCAGAACACCACCTAAGATGGTAAGGTTGGAATTCTCACCACCTTAAAAATGCAGGGAAATTTAAATACTGGCCCAGAACCATGAAACCCATGCAACCTTGGCTGTGGCTAGAGGGAAACCATTACAATGGATGTACCTCCCACAATAGTTCTGAAGATAAACGTATAGTGCAAATTATACCAGGACAAATTCTGGCATTCCCTTTTGGGTTATAAAGCCAAAATAATTGTAAATACCCAATCAGAAAAAGTAGCCTTTTTATAAACAAAGAAAATTTGAACTGGTATTAATTTTCTCCAGTGATGTTAAAGACCAGACAACATTGGTCAAATACAAAAGAGGCTCCTTGTTTTCTTTTAACTTAGTTCAATTTTTTACATAGGTAATTTATTGTCAAGAAGCAAAACTCCCAAGGGGCATCTGGGTGGCTCAGTCAATTAAATGTCCAACTCTTGATTTCGGCTTGGGCTACGATCTCAGTCTCCTGGGATTGAGCTCCATGTCAGGCTCTATGCTCAATGCGGAATCTGCTTCAGATTCTCTCTCCCTCTCCCTCCCCTGCTCTCT